TGTTTATTGATGTTTGCGCGTGGCGTTCGAATTTAGTTTATTTGCTCATCCTATGATTCTTCCGTCGTCCTCGTCGAGAAGTCCTCGAACGCTCTTTTCCTTGAAACTCGATCTAACGACGACGATTTTATCCCACGCCGCAACAACTTCAACTTTACGATTCCCCAAATCTCGTTGGTGTCTTTCTTCTCGCGTCTTCTAGATCATCTTTCTGTCTTCTTTTTTTCTTTTTATACATTTTACTACTAGCGATTAATGTGACTGCGTGTGTACATATACGTGTAAGTGAGACAACGAGCGAATGGATACGTGTATATTTCGGGTTAATTTTTGTTGTTCGTTGATGTCTCGTGATATCCTCGATAACGTTGGCCCCAGCAAGTGAAACGTGTTGTCTAAAATTAGATCACTCCACGAGTGATGTCCTCTTGACGCGTCACTTTCAAATTCGAACTTTTATTTAATCTTGTACACTTACGCGTGAACGACATTACTTATGGATATCCTAATACGTGAGCCTACAGGTGTATGAAACATACGTAGGGTGCCCAAGACTGCGCCAAACTTGAGTACATTCTGTACGAACATGTTTCATAAACTGTCCAATTTGCAATTACAAAATATTACCTTCATCTATTAAAGTTTGGTACAGTCAGACACCCTATACATATATAATGCGCATATGCAGAAGATATATATTTTTTAAATCAACATATTTTTCGATATCGACTGTGTCATACACGAGGAAGGCTCTATGCGTTTGAAAGAAGAGAGAAGTCGAAGGTCTTTTCGAAGTTTCTGACGAAAGGTGAAGAATATCGGTGGAACGCTCGAAAGAAACCAAAGCAAGAAACAGCTTCATGAATTCGTTTTTAGTAAAAAAGAAGTTCAATCGATATTCTCGTCTCGCCAGTGTGATAAACCGCAAAACGTTAATCTAAAGCCACTGTATTTGTAAAACATATCTTTATTTATTACTATTAATCCGAGCTAGACACTTGGAAAGAAGTAGTATCTCGAATAAGGAAATGTGTACTGTTTCCTGTTCGAGAATACTATTTCTTTTTACATAGCTTGTGTGTCACGGGAAGCAACTGCGCCAACGATAAATGATCGAGACAAATAAACAAACCAAGTTCAAAACGCATATCGTTCGTAAACCCCACACGCTTCTGAGCAGTTCAGATTTTTCTACGACACGTCTCAAGACTGTATTAATCGTTAATCGGCGTTATTCGCGGAAGGATCTCTGTTTTTATTGTTTCCTTTTTACAGCCCTCTCACCCGCACCCTCTCCCTCGTATCCCTTAATACTCGTTTGTATTTTTTACGTTATTTTCCTTGCGTGAATTTTCTATATTTTATACGGCATGTTTATACGTATCGTTGTTAGAATTTTCTGCGAACGACAGCCGACGGATCGATGCTCGATTAATTTTTCTTTATCGTCGCTCAAACGCGTGTCTTCGTGGTTTGCTCAGAGTAAAAATGAGGAAACTACTGATCACATTCAATGAACGATTTCTGTATCCTCGTTTATGAATATAAGTATAATCAACTGTCGGAAAAAATTGTGCTAATTTATTTGGAAGCTTCAAACAATATTCTTACTCGGTGTGCACCGTTCCGCAGTTGATTTGCCGTAACATACCACGAGTGCCTATTAATGATAACGAGAAACTGAATGTTGTGTCCTGCAGTAAAGCTACGAGTTTTGTTAGCGACCCGAGATTAAAGCACGTTTATCGCGTGAGAGGGAGAGAGAGAAAGAGAGCGTGTGCGCGTGGTTTCGAAAGCGAAACCTCGATACTTTTGTAAATAAAAAATGTTAACTCGTGATCGGTCACGTTTGTGTGATCAGAAAGGATGCCACGCGAACCGTGCGTGTACAGTGAGATCTCGTCGCAGGTTCTACTCGCAAATTCCAAAATACATCTGTATCTCACGATTACTTGCCCAATGAGAGGAAACGTTACCTATATATGACCACGCCGACCACGAATCAATATATTTGTACATAACTGCACTTTCTTTTTTCTTTTGCCAAAAAGCACGATCCTACTCGTGCCGAAGAAATGGCGCAGATGTCGTGAACGCGTGCGTTAAAGAGAGCATATCGGCCGGAGAAGGAACTATGAACGAATAACTTTTCTTCTGAACCATCGTCATCGTGTCTCTCCTCCTCAACCGTACCCCTGAAATAGCTTTTTCGAGGACGTTTCGAATACAGTTCCTATGCAGTATGGTAAAGCGACTTAGACTTGGTCGGCTGTTGTCCATTGATCAAACGATTCCAACACGACACTTCATTATCCTTCCTCCGGCTGTACGGAGATATAAGTATTTAGATCTAAGGGACATATCCACAAGCGTGTAGTGTACTTGTATATGAATACCGAAATAAATATTTTCAATGTTTTTGACAATATTCAATTGATGTTTCATTTACCACTCCTCTTATTTATCCGTATTGTTTACTATAGTCGCTCCCTAAACTCTCCGCTTTCTTTCTCCAAACACATGCAAGCGATGGTTGCTCCCTCTACTGTGAATCAAGCCTACGTTGTACGCTATAGAAAATAAAAATGCATTCGTGTATTCTATGAAACCCATGTATTTCATACGAAACGTAATAGATGAAAAATGACTGAAATACCTTATCTTATATCCAACAGTATAAGATAAAACTTGCAATATATTTATAAATATGACAGACACGAGGCATTAAAACGAGGAAAAACTATAAAAAATATATGAAGATTTGTACAGTGAATAGAATAAAAAAATTAAATCTACGACTTTCCAAAAAGTGTCTGCATTGCAAAATAAATAAAGTACTGATTGTTCGATGTCATTGACACTGGGTTGGTAAAATGTAACACATAATTTACAATCCCTTTTTGTTTCAACAGTCGTATGATCTTTTTTACATGCTTGTCTTCTTAAAACTATGTCCTTGTTGCGATTCTGAGGTTTTAATATTGACAATTCAATAGGTGGGATAACAGCTCCAATTATTTATGTTCAATACGGAAATTATTTTCGTTTCTTGCATTTAGTTCTACCTCGACGTCTACGTGAAGAGTTTGGGCGAGTGTCGGCTTTCTTCGAAGATCTGGAAACAATACATGCATTGAATAACGATGACGCGGTAACCAACAAAATATCTTACCTGTGAACTCTGTTCACTGACACAGAAGTATGTTTCTTTAAAGTTAAATGCTGCTGCACTAGCTCTGCTAGCTTTCCTTGTTGAGCGAGCATCGAAAGAAACGTGCAAATAAATTCATCATAATTATGCGTTCTACGACAATCGTCAATCTGAAACAAAATAGTATTCTGTATACGAAACTTTACAAGTATCATCACCTTCTTCCAAATGTACTTACCTTATATTTGTTCCTTTTGTCGTTCTCATCTTTTAAGCTAGTTTCACAAATACTTATTTCGTGTTCTAAGTTCTTCAGCAACGCTAAAAGATCTTTGGGTGCAAACGTATGGGGTTCAAACAATTCCGGGTATTTTGAGCACAGTTTTGGATCGATTTTCTCAACTTTTTTCTCTTCGGTAACAGTATCCCCGTTACTCGTTTTCACTCTAGCATGAGGTATTCTAACTTCTCCCGACAAGCAGACTTTTTTATGTAAGTGACCACTGTCGGAAACTAATCTTTTTCCATTTATATTAATATTCCCAAGAGAACGACCTACTTACGGATGTACACTTTACGTACTGCTTCTTATGGTGTTATCATACACCACAATAAAGAAATTCAATGAAATATACGTACTTAAACCTGCCTCATTCTTTTCGTCTCCAGCGACTCTGATTACAACGAACTTTTTAAAATCTTTCGTGGACGTTGGACTGTTCTGGCCTGAATTCCATCCCCATGCTACAAATTAATACATGATTGTTTAGCATAAGTATATTTTTCAGTTTTAAAAGTAATTGTTATTCATACAATACCTTCTTTCAATCATATGGATAGAAAGAGTACAAAAATACTCAGAAATGATAGGTCAACTAACTGTATCTCAGAGGTGTCAAAGGATGACTTATGGGGGAATGTGTGAAAAGCAAATAATACCAGCAACCAAGCCACATCAAATTTAGTCTGCTATAGTACAGCGTACGTGACAAATCAACGCAATGAGATACATACTTATAATACTATATTTTACTGTGATAACAACGGAGTCGTCGAAATGTCCAGAATCAAGAAAACCCCATCCCACTAGTTGCACTGTATTTTATAATTGCGTGAATCTGCCGGATGGCGGTTATGTTTGGGTACCCAGTAAATGTACAGAAGGCTTGGTAAGATAATTTACCACTTTAATAATATTAGCAAACTCATTTCTTAATTTCCAAATCCTCGTTGTTAGATATTTGAACCACATTTGCGAATATGTGTTCTACCTGGTGATTCTTGGACGTGCGACACATTATCTACAGAATCCTCTATTGTAACAAACAGGTATGACAGTGTACCTGAATTAATCAATTCGAATGAAACTAGTTACATGGGATCAACGCAAGATCCTGTGGACTTTTCTGAGCTCATTGACTCATCATATATTACTGATAGCATCCCTGATGAACCTGACCAGGAAATGGCAACTCCATACCCTTTGATTGAAGTTGAAGAAACAACAAATGATAATGGTGAAACAAATGCAGATAATTTTTCTGTAATTAATAATTTACAGCATGACTATTTGCAAGCACAAAATGATAGCAGGAAGCAATACTTGTTGCTGAATCAATTAATACAACACTTATTAGTATACAAAGAGATTACTATTCCTTTAGAATTTCTAACATCATCATTGTCTACACCTTCAACACTTAATACAAAAATACCATTGTCCAATGAAGTAAAATTTACGAAGGATAACCAACATAATGTATTAATGAATTACCTTATACAGAATTATATTCAACAGAACAATAATTTGCAAAATAATATCATAACTGGTACTCAATTACAAAATACAACAATGAGAGATAGCACAGTTCTAAAAGATGCTGATGCAAATAAACCGATGTTAAATATAGAAAATTCTAACAATACATTATCAACAACATTTGATAATTTAGAGAACGAAAACAATATAATCTCAATTGTTGATAATGTCGGAAACAAACAATATTTGACCATTGAAAGGTACAAAGCATTAGGTTATCCATTAAATTCACAATCTGTTCAAGTTCTTCCATGTATAAGAAATATTCGCTTGCCAAATGTAACTAACTGTCTCAGGTATTATGTGTGTGAACCAGAGAGACCTTCTATAATAGAATATTCGTGTCCATTATTCACGGCATTTAATGCATATATAAAAATATGTGATACAGAAAGTTACAGCAAATGCATAAGAAAAGTTAACATAAATATTCCAAATGGTGCAGATAATGTATTTCAAAAAGATGTAACAGAGGACAATATATGTACAGAGCATGGAAAAATAAAAGATCCAACATCTGAATCGCGTTACTATATTTGTCATTCCGACAAATCACAGAACATTAAAGCAATGCGAATGACATGTCCAAATAATTTAATATTTTGTCAGACTAAGAAAGTGTGTACAACAAAACGTTTTTGTAAAGGGTCGTAATTTTACTTACCTTGTGTGGGTGAATTAAACGCAGATCCAATCTCGGACGACGTATCGGTACTAGACGAACTGTGTGCCGGTGAAGTTTGTATTTGAAGAGGCGTGGCATAATCTAATGCACACATTACTACTTTTTCCATACCACTGAAATATGTATTTATTCTAACTTCGTTTAAAGAATAAAATATTTGATGAATATCAAACCTATGTCCAAATTATTGTCTACTTACTTAGATTCAGTCTTCCCAGAAGTTATATTTGAAGCTGGCTCCTCAGTATCTGTCGTGGCATCATTGTTTCTTTCAACAGTAACAGATGGTATAGAAGAAGATTCATCGATCTCCGACTTATTAGGCAAAGCATTTTCATCATCAATTTTACTTTTCTTTTCATGCGGTTTATCTAATTTTTCGGTATCATTTGTATTCTTCTCTGATCCATCTTGATGGCTTAATTTAACAAGTTGTTGCAATGCTTCTAATACTATTTGTCTATTAGTTTTTAACATGGTTAATTTATGCGAAATAGCAAGTCGCCGATCGGGAACAACTGCCATTAAATTAAATCTTATATCTTGTAATTGCTCCCCTGTTGCCATTCCTAATCTATCCGTAATTACGCGCCTAAATTGTTCCGTCCACTCTTCGTGTTCCTTCCATGGACCGTGATCCATGGGATATGGTTTTAAACCATCCAATTCAAATAATCTACCATTGATTGGTACATAACTGACAAAATGAAAAGCCTCCCCAGTAAATCTTCCAGTTGACACTCCAGTATTTTTATCTTGCCGTCTTTTGGCTTGAGGCATTGCATGCGAGTTATGAGCACACGCCAATTCAGGTGTATTACCAATTGCCCATCCTTTATTTTCTGGACACATTCCAGATGTATGCATCTTCAATCTGGATAAAGTTGTACCCAAATGAATATTTGGGCAGTTAAGTAACACTGAAAGTAATGCATGGGTTGCACAGCTATTGGGAACCACCTACAAAAAAATGAATAATTATGAATCGGGCACTTATGTATTATTGAATATTTAGCACTGTAATAGCTGAGCATAGTTTACAAAGATAATACACCTGTTGTGCAAAGAATATGTTGTTAACGATTTCTTCATCTTTCACAAAACTCTCATCTTGTTCTACTACTTTGCGTCTTGATCTTCTCTCTTCTATCCAACGGAACAAAAATATGAAACCATATACTGGACCTTCTAATGATTTTTGCAGATCATATATTTCTTCCACTTGCACACCCTTTACCCCAAAGTCTTCCAACAGCAGTGTAAATAAACCTGACAATATACAAAACATAGTAATACAATTTTGTAACAGGATAAGCTTCGTTGTTCCATATACTGTACGCCATTGAAGCGTTATGTGCATAAATACATTAAATGACTAAAATATGTTCAAGAACTAGTTCTACATATTTTGTTGTCTTTTCAAATTTGTATAATATATCTTAATTTTTGAAAGCATTCAAGTATTTTCATTTTGAACATCATTAAAATTATGGTTATCAATTTTTACCTGGATCACTTTCCAATTCTAACCAACCTTCAGTTAATCTATTTATATCAACTGGCATTCTGTGTTGAGTTTCAAATTCAAAAATTAGAAAAATTTCACATCCTTCTAGAAATTTTATTATGCCTTGACAATTAAAGACGCCATGTTACATCAAAACACATATCATGTGATCCAATCACGCGGTAAAAAAGCTTAAAGAATTGTTTAAATTTTAATCTTTTTTATCTCTTTTTTTGCTCGTTTTTTATTAAAAATAGGTATTTTGTTTAAGTACTTTAACCCGTCCGAAAAGTTGGTAAGTGTAAAAAGAAAAGAATATAGTACATCACATTGCCTGTGAAACAAGCATAAAACTTAATTTAGTAAAATTTGGAATTAATATATCATTCGATGATATTTTTATGTTAAAATGTACCATATATATAATCTTATAAATAAATTTATTAGAAAAATGTGACATCATTAAATAATTTGATGAAGTATATATGACGCATATGACAGTAGCGCATTCTATCAACAATTCCAATAAAATTCTTTTGAATATCAGCCACGTATGTTATGTAGTAATAATTAATGATTTTATTTAGTATTAGATAAACAAATAATTATTATGAATATATTGAGATTAATAATTGGTTTGATAGTATTTATACAATTGTCAGAATGTACATTGTTACCGCCCAAAGACAAAAATAGTAAAAAGAATAAAGGAAAAGTTGAAACTAAGGTTGCAAAATAGATTTATAAAGATTTCCGTAAACAAAATATTTATATTTTCATTACTTTTTTTGTGGGATTACAGATAGGTCCTGTGAATCAGGATGTTTTTAAAAGACATTTAGTGGTGAAAAACACTAAAACACATGATATTATTCATGAATCAGGCTTTTATTTTTCGAATACGACTCATAAACGATTTACAGGAGACGTTTTAGGATACATTACACCGGTAATTTTATTGTTTCTTATTATTTAAAAATTTTTATACTGAACATAGTATAATTCAAACTTACTTAATTGTTTATATTAATCATTAATATTAATAAAAATATTTCCTTTCTTTAGTGGAATAGTAATGGATTTGAAATTGCCAAATTATTTCATGGAAAATTTACTATGGTATCACCAGTATGGTTAGCATTTCCAGAAGGTAATGCAGCAACGTACAAATTGTCGACTCATGATGTTCAAAAGAAGTGGTTGAAGGAAATGAGAGCAGCAAACAATGAAGCACATCACGTGAAAGGTATGTTAAGAAGTAATGGACATGTGTAAGTGTATTGACATTATATAAATGCAATTATTTTCAGTTTTACCAAGGGTATTATTTGAACATTGGTCAGTCAATGATATTGTGGGATTGTACAGTGAAACTCATAAGCTGAGTGAATTAATTTCATCGTTAATAGATACAGCAGAGGTAATTGTAGAAGTATATACAGTACAAGTATACAATATTGCAGTATACAGAAGTATATTCTGTCCTAGGTCTATCATTTTGATGGATATGTTTTGGAAATATGGAATCAGTTTATATTTACAGGTGTAGATACACAAATTGTAATATCTTTAGTTAAGTCGATTGCTCAACAACTAAACAACAATAATTTAGTTACAATTCTAGCAGTGCCACCATCAAGAGGGTAAGTTTTATTTTATGCATTTGATGTGGTTGTATAATTTTGTTTGATGTAATTTCCAAAGAAACAGGAAGTTTATGTGTGTGAAAGAAAATGATTGTCATGTATTACATGTTTTCCCCTATTTTAGCCCAAAAGTTCAATTATTTAATAAAGATCATTTTGATCAATTATCACCATATATAAAAGCCTTCTCTTTGATGACTTATGATTATTCAACTATTCAACGTCCTGGACCTAACAGTCCAGTTGATTGGGTGAGGGAGTGTGTAAAACTGCTAGTACCTGAAGATGGTCCTAAAAGGGCTCAAATACTACTAGGTCTTAATTTCTACGGATATAATTATACTCCTGAAGGTGGGAGAGCTATTTTGGGTACAGATTATCTGAAAATGCTTGAATCCTTCAAAGGAAAAATTCAGTGGGATGATAACAGCAAAGAACATTTTTTTGAAGCAAAGTAAGGTTTAGGATTACAAGAGATTTTATAGCTTAGATAAAGTTGTTTAAATCTAGGATGAAATTTGGGGATCTATTTCAGGTCGTCGGGGGGCAGTGGAATTGTCTTTTATCCGACATTGTATTCTATTTTGCATCGACTGGATCTTGCTGCCGAATTGGGTACAGGTATATCGATTTGGGAGCTTGGTCAGGGGTTACATTACTTTTACGATTTATTGTGAATATTTTTACATACGTTATAAATATATTTTACACTTAAAAAGTATAAATGCTGTTGACAAATATAATTTAAGTATACAAATAAATTCAGTCTCGGTAATAATACTATTCCTACAGTGTTTAGATGAATGTAACTATTCTTAATGGTCAAAATTAAAGACAGCATTTGTTCCTTAGTCTGTGTACAAATACTTTACCAATGAATCCATGGTATACTACATTGTACACATTATCGTACGTGTGTTTCTTTGGATATTACTGCATCAAAAATATTGTTATTATTTTTCAATATCTTTTCCTCTCTTCCTTTGAGCATCATCATAGACTGAGGTCCTTTTATAACGTGATACATCAAAGCCCAGCACAGCTTTGCTGGTAGCAAACTATCAGAAACAGAATTATTGTAATTGACTTTCAATGATTGTAGAAATCATAACTTACCATTTGAGTGGCAAGAGATACCTAACTGACCCAGGTAACACAACGTTTATTTGATTTACCAATATTCCAGATACAACTTCTTCCGCTACGTAATCAGGTTCCAACATCGGCATTAGCCTGTACATTATAAATTCATAGCAAGTCAAATTATTATGCTAAAAACCAGTGTTCCGTAGGTCTCTTTGCGTACCTGGGTTTCACTCCATGGAACATACCCGTGTTAATGAAATATGGACAGACTAGAGTCGCGTGAATTCCATCATAACCATGAGCCTAGGAACGATACAAAAAATGTTACCCATTTACTATTCACCGAGAAGAAAGTCTAATGTAATTTCAAGAAGTTGCTACTTTAAGTTCTGTGAAAAGACTCTCGTGGTAACCGATGGCTGCAAATTTGGTAGCCGAGTAATCCGTACAATTATAAGTTCCCAAAAGTCCTGCCACGCTTGCTACAGTCACGATGTGGCCGTGATTGTTTTTCATCATGTCCCTCATGAATGCTTTGGTAATCTGCGTTGAATGCAAATGGTTCAACACTCTCCTTTAGGCATTGTCCAACCCAAACTTACCCAGTAATGCGACAGAATGTTAACATTATAAGTGCGCTCTATTTCGTCGTCTGGTAAGTCCATCAGTGTTTTTCCGTATACGTAGCCCGCGTTGTTTATCAGCAGAGTCACCTGAATAAAACATTATTGAGTAATACGATTTGTCATTTGTTCCCTAGAAAGAAGACTTTAAATCCTACTGGGCCAACTTCGATTTGCACTGTTTTCGCTATCCTGTACACTTCATTCCTGTTAGTAATGTCGCAATAGTAACTCCAACACTTTCCTCCGCTACGTCTAATTTCTTGCACCGTATCTTCCAGACCTGCAATCATAATTATGAAAGCGCTCGTTCCTTTATGGCGACCTAGCGAAATATACCAGTCCTGTTGATATCCCAGATGACAACGTGTGCTCCAAGTTTGGCCAGTTTCATAGCAATCAACCTTCCAATTCCGCCAGCGCCTCCTGTCACCAGAGCCACCTCTCCTTTGATAGATTTCGCACGATAGCGTCGGGGAATGAGCGTCAGGATAAGGGCCTCGCTTATGTAAACCAGAGCCATTCCCGTGAATAGTAAAAGGTCGTAGAGGACGTTGATCCAATCCGGTAGCTCCATTTGTGCACCTGTACAAGTCATGCATTCTATTTCCTTTTTTGGACAAAAATTTATGATAACATAACACAGCTTTCGTTATATAATTGCATCAACCCTATTGCTAAACATTCACTCGCAATCGAAGCACGAAAAGGTGGCGGTTCTTTTGCCTTTCACGGGGAATAGAAATTTGTGGTCTGGTAATTGCTACTATAGACAGAAATTCGTACATTACGGTACACCTGCATTAGTTGTGGTACCGGTTCACCGACAAACCACAGTGAATGGTGTTATTAACTTCGGTCATTGCTCTAGCTTCACTTGGTTCTTTATACGAAAACGAGAATGCATTTCGCAAAATTTATTCTAAGATCGTACACTTTAATTCGAATTTTTATTGCATCGACAGTATTCGAGGGACACCGTATCGCGCGAGACGAGAATATAGAAAGTTCACCAAACAATCTTAACTGTTCTCCTTTTTATCTTTCTCTTTTCGGTTTAGACAGTTATCGAAATAAAACATTTTGAAAACAGGTTCTTCGGGAAGTTTGAATGAGTGTTCTCGCGGCGGTAATTTGAATGAATGTAGACTATTTTATAACATATTATATAAAGCTATTTGATAATCCAGCGAAAGTCATTCGCGGAAAGTATTAGACAATCGATAAAAAAGAAATAGTTATTCAAAGTTCGAGAATTTTGAATTCACCGCACAAAGTTCCGCGCTTCGTTCGAGAACTTCCTTTTTAAAATTTCACGTTTCTCACCACTGTTACAAGAGTCACCACCACAAAATGTTTTATTTATTATATTTTATGACGACAATATTTGCACTGTTTTGCAGAAACTGAATTAAGTTAAAAGGAAGCGCTAGTTTATTTGTCAAAAATTACCTCTTTATGGATCAAGTTCTCTGAGGGTGTTTAGTACTAGTAAAAGAAACTTGAGTTTGGAGAACGGTTCCGGTCCTTCTATGCTTGCGTATCGGTTGTCGAGTGGTGACTGGCGGTCTATCTGTTGATGCGCCCGAATTGCATGACCCGCTATGTTTTGCTGCTTGACGCTTTGCTCACTTCTGTACTCGAGAGCCTTCCCCAAAGGTATTAGAAAAACTAGTTAAATACTTCCTCACAATAATTGTAATTTTCATAACTCATTACATGCAAAAAATTAATATAATCATTTATTGCAGTTCCGCACCTTTTTCACAAATAGTGTTCTTAATTCACCGGAGCGTAGAACCTAATCTTTGTACGTCGCTGGATTTACTATAGTGCTGTAGCTTATAAGATGCACAAAACACGTGCAGCAGAATCCTACTACCATAGAGGAGACTTGTACCTAGCCTTATGGTGAAAGTTTCCGTTATATCTCTCTTCCTGTCCTTTTGATACTATGTAGTTATTTACACGATGCATGAGTATGCTGGCCCTAGCAATGGACTGTGAAGCTTGATAAAATTACATCTTTTTGAAAAATCGATCAAGGAAGAGATTTTCTTAAGACTTCAGGGAAAGAACATTCACTGAAAGTTTGAAACTAGTCATTGGTAGAAGTAAGACCTTTCTGAAGAGTTCAGAACTAGAAAATTTCTGATAGAAATATCCTTCTTCAGATTACGAAGATATTTGACGAAATCCCATACCGAATGTAGTAAACATTATTTTCTTATATTTGATATGCAATAATCGTAGCAATATTGAGTAACAGGATAACGTGTTACAGGTGATTATGCCGAGACTGATTTGTGAACCCTCAGACCGTGTTAGTTTCCTTCAGAAAGAAAGTTATGAGATCCACGTGAATCCTCGAAGTACGTGCAAGCAATGCCAACGTTACTCCTGCTTACACAATTCTGATGAAAATTTCTTTAATTCCTAATATATAAAATTTTTATACATTCATTTGATGTACCTAATTTATACGAACGCTTCACATAATAGTAACAGTGAAAGATTCATCGTACGACTGGTGAAAGGTCGAAGATCTAGGTCACTAATACTCTTCTACGAACGAGGAAAAATTGTAGAGAGCAAGGAATTAGAATCTGTATTTTGTTTCATATTTTAAAATTATGTCGAAAGTGTTTTGGTTCCTCCTTGTTAACATTCTCGTGCTTGAATAAGAGCTTCGACCGAGAGTCCTTCGCTGCGAAGAATAAATCATTTGTTACTAAAAGACAGACAGGTTACAATGACAATCATGTGGTCATTCATTGCCTATGCAGAACGTTGCTTCTCGTAATGAGCCATACCTGAATTAATGAATAAATGCAAGATAAACGACACCGTAAACAATCAACTTTGTTGTGTGTCCTTTGAAGTGGCCAGGGTGGTAAAATTTTTTATTGTTCATGCTGTTCAAGGCTTCACACTGTAATGGGTATGCAAATGAAGATTGCAAAAATAAACTTTGTGAGAAATTTTGTGAAATGAAGTACAGAACAGAACTTCAAGAGTAGGAACAAGGTTGTAAAAATTATGTATTTATAATGATAAAAGATGGAACAGTTTTGATACTGTGTCTATCAAATTTAAATTTAAATGTTGAAGATAGAATCATTTGAACGTCCGATACAAGAGTGCCATCTGTCGACGAGTGTCGGTAATGCAGATATACCGATTGAATGTTGGTAAGCCACCAAGCGTTGTTAAGCATAAATTCTACTTTTAAATTTCAAATCTGTGGTTTCCCGTTTTAGATTCAAGTTCTATAATGATGGAATCGTTTGGGAGAAGTCAGTTGAACTAATTGCATGCAAGAGAAGAATGAAAGTATGAAGTACTATAGGGAGAATAGCTAGTGCCATTAAAATGGCGAATGTTAAAATTAATTGGGATATTAGGGAGAAATTGAGAACGTTTGTGGAATATGTAGAAATCTGTAGAAGTGTGCCCCTTTAGAGTGCCAATATTTGTACGTTTTCCTATTTGCATATTTGGTAATCGTCTAGTGGAGCAGAAAGCCACTTCAATGATGATCATTGAGGTCCATTCCACTCAGGTTTACCCAATGCGAATTTCAGAGAAAGTACATACTGACAATAATTTCGTCATTTTTATTCTTTTAGACACCTCGAACTGAGTAACGGTTTCACTTGGATCGTACACCTCGAGAGGGCTCTTTGACTTTTTATTAACGTGAAATCTCATGACGTTATTGGTAAGTCGATTCGAAAGAAAATGGTAAGATTTTCAAACTTAAAAAGTTTTTAAATTTAACATTCGAATATTAAAAATTTAAATTACTGTTTCAGCGGCCTATCGTTCGAAAATTATTAGTTAATAGCTAAATAATTTAAATGCATTGAAACTCCGATGGCAGAATTGAAATTAAAGCGACGATCGTTAGCGGTCCTAAGATTTTCCACGTAAGCTATAAAGTTTTCGAAGAAAATTAACCTTAACGATTGGACCATTTTAAACGAATATCGTTAGCAACCAATTAGGAATTAACGCTGATGCTCAGGACCTCCGAATTATATTCTGGGCCGGTCACTTTCACTTGTATAGTTGCTCTGGAAAGTCAACGTTTTCGTGATGAAACTGCCTGTAGTCCTGCTAGACAGCAAGAAGAAAGATTTCTTCAAGTTCAACGGTGCCACAATGGAATGTAACTTTCCATTTCGTCTGGTTTCATAAAACGAATTTATTCCGGTTTTCAGCAAATGCTTATGATTACAAGCGAGCAAAACGAGCGTCGCAAAGATAATCCCACTCGAAAGATTGACGAGCGATGACACAAAGAAATAATCGAACCGCATTATTTATGACGGCGATGCTGCTAGTCTTATCACAAATAGAGCTCATTTATTTTGCAAAATCGAAATGGCCGTATTTACTTGCAACGCAAAAGAAAACGATTACGATAACCGATTACTGCCTTTGTTGTAACCTTCTGGTCGACTAAACTTTAAAGAACAGTAATTTAAAAAATTTTAATTAATGTTTAATTGACCGACAGCTGCCCTTTGCGTGTGCAGTTGCTTGCTCATTGATTACATCACAATTTGAAATTCATTTCACGCGAGCGTTCATTTTTTAACCATGCTCTCTTTTTCAGGGGACTTCCATAAGAACACCGTATTCGCTGGTTGATATCTGGATCTCCTTGACACGTGAAATTCTGCGGCCTTAATCCCAATTATTCCATGATATGGTGGTTATGATCATTCTCAAGAACTATTCGCAAAAATTTTATGCACAAGACCTACACAAGAAGAATATTTTCCTTTATTCGATACTCGTCGTTCTAACCGAAGGAAATGCGACGATCACTATTAAACGTTTTGTTAGACGGTGCTCCAGTTTGTAAATTATATGGATAGCGCGCGGCAATGGAACAACGCTCTCCATGGATTGTCTTCTTTCATTATCTTCGGCATTTGAATCAACGTTTTTGCTAGTACAGTAAAGATAGTGTCGTCTTTTACGACATAATAGCTTTTTTATTCAGAATTTTAATTTATTATTAATACATATCCTTGTTTCATATCATTATCGGCATAACCGGTTACGATGAGTCGATTGAAGCAGTTTAACTGCAATTATATAATGGTTGGACTAATTAGCGTTATTTTTAAACTCGTTTATTTTTTCATAAAACATTAAATCATAATCAATATTTTTTCATAAATCGGTCAATCATTAAATAACCGCGATAAATATTTATAGATTTCACTGAATCAGCTGCATGTAGGTTTGCTAATTGAAAGAAGTCAATTGAAGAAATAATACTTTCTTTTCCAGGTACACAATTTCTATTTAACCCTTAACTGATACAGTAGAATTTCGAAAAATTTTATTTAAAAAGGGTAACTCAAGGAATTAAAGTAACACTAACTGTTCCTAATTTACCTATAAATTATAAGGGTTAAAGGGGTAAAAATTTTTGGTAGAGTACAACGTCGTAAGTCTATTAATAAGGTGTTAATATAATAAGTAAAGATTTATATTTGTTTAACAAATTTGCGATCGTCTTCCAAAGATCAAGTCTACATCAGGAATGTATTCATGGAGCACATGTGAGATTCATAAAATACTAATAATATTGAAATTGATTGCAGTAGAGGATGAAATAAATCCAGAAAATTAATTCAGAGCTATAAAGTGTCAGAAATAAAGAAGAAGAGGCAGGCGAAACTAGATGGTATATCGATGCATTTTTAATTATCGCATTTGTTATTCGTACGTGCTTCTTGATTAATGCGCGCAGACTATTCTCCGAGAGATCGTCGAGAGGGTAAAGGCGTACCGAAGCCGTCGTTTCATTCAGTACACCGACAACCGTAGTGCCGGTGAGACGAGTATCTCTAACCGTACGAGGACGACTTTCGCACAGGTACGCTCCTTTCGGTGCACAATTCCCTCGTGCTTCGTTCTCCACTCTAGCAAAGTTTTCGTTTCAGAACGCGAGTGACCGTCGAAGATCAGCGATCAGGAGAGATAGTAAGGCATTTCATCAATCTTATCTGCTTTTAATATCGTGAATTTTCATCGTCATCTACCTCCATCATCGAAAACAATATCTTAAACGGGAGTTTATATCGAACCAGTTGAAGCTGAAGTGCTCGTAAATTCGGTTAGTTAACTCGCTAAAACAGGCTCGATCAAGATGAGTTTTGAAAGTGGCCGATTTCTCGCCGAGACTGGAGCGATCCTCGAGAAGCTGCTTTCGGTTTCACCTTCGTTGCTTCTTTTATTTACCTATGTCGCCCACTGAAAAACACGTTTATGTAATAACGATAACTAATCTATTTTGTCGCGCAAATGGTGAAAAGAAAAATTCTGATAAACAGCGTGGTTCGTGCATTACGTTCGACGATTTTATATTTGATCGATGTCGAATTATGATTTCGTTAACTAGACTTCTTACGCGCAGCAACTCACCGAGCAATTTTTTTCTCTTTACAATAACTCGATAGTTGCCAGTTAATTTGTCTTTTGCACTGTCGCGTGATCGTTTGTTCGCGCGAGTGGTTATAGTAACAAAGGTTAATTGAATTGGAAGACGTTTCCGCACGAATTAGGATGATTGTATTGTCATAGGTCAATTTTATGACTACACGTTAACAATTATTCGCAAACGTGGAACGAATTCATTCGATCTTCCATCAAATGTGTAATCTATCATAAAACCGTGAAACGATCCATGACGAGTACGTAAACGACATTTACATCCTCTGATTAGTAACTTTGTCACGAACGTCTACGTAAATTTACAAGCAACTGTAGAATGCGAATTAGACATTATTGGTATTTTATCGAACAGGAGCATTCGAACTTACGACTCATCAGAATCGTCGAAACAATTCTGTACGTGTCTCGTATGTCGATTCCAAATCTACCTTCGCTATTTCCTGGATCACGTCTGCTAATATCTTTCGTGAAAAATCCGATAACGAGACACAGCCCTTCAATCGAAGAATTCAATCGACCACGAGTGGAAATCGAAAGTGAATTTCGCGTCTCATTAGAAAGCGAATCAGCGATACGATATTCGTGTTTCGTTCGCGTAAACGTTAACGTCCGCAAAAACTGTACGTAAAATCGTAAACAGGAAAATGAAAGAATCGCGATACGTTCGTGAACGTTTTTGAAAACATTTCTCCCCCTTGATTCTTCTGGGTACCGTAACTTTGAATGTATCAAATCTTGTCTTCATTCTCTTCACATTTTAACTTCATTGTGACTCAGAGAATATCTCTGAAGACATTCCTCGTTTCAGCATAGAAACGGGTGTTTGTCTTAGCTAAAATCGTGTCCTCTTCGACACGAGAAGAAAGTAATACGAAATTTGGAGAAAGCGTATACTAGTTTCTATACCGGTGTTGCTAAATGCGTAACTATTAACATTAGCAATGAATCTGCCGCTTCCCACTTATTATCAGATAAGCGTCCAGGTAGAGCTAGTTTCTTCTGTCAGCAATCACGTTACGTTATCAGTGACACGCTATTGACATTTCAAATATAAGTCATGTGAAATAGATATTCAGTCTAAATAGATAATTTTTGATTAGTCATATCCATTCTTTATTTAAATTGAAGATAAAAATTCTAAGACTTAATTTTGTTTTGCAGGAAACGGTGTACGATTTTCGATAGTGCCCTCCACGTCCAGAAGCCTTAATATACACCCCGCACTGGGTCGAGCTATGATATCCTGATCGATCCGCATTCTCGAATCGCAGAAGAGTCCGTATCGAAGCCTCCGTTGGAAGAATCATGTCTTTCTTAAGATCTGCGAGTGATGTGATAGGTTTCTTGATTCTCGCGGTGATATCCATCGCTGAGAGTATCATCAAATCATTGATTCCCATGAAGTACAAGATGAAGAACGTCGCAGGTGAAATTGCGCTCGTGACCGGGGGTGGAGGAGGCCTAGGCAGGCTAATTGCCCTCAGGCTCACCAAACTTGGCGTTATCGTTGTCATCTGGGACGTTAATAAAGCTGGTAAGATTCTCTGAAGAAAAGACTGCTTTGGAATTGCAATGGATTTTTAAAGTTGTAAATATTTTATAGTAGGTCACTCCTTGCATTTCCGTCGCAGATCTTAACTAGGATAGTGATTCACGTGTTTGTTCGCGCACTTTCAAACATTCAAAACAACGGTGATATCATGTACTGCCCATAAATTTTTCAAACCAGTATTGTGAATAATTGTGCGAGTCACTGTGTCTGAATCTTTATATGTAAAGTACGTTTGTGATCTAGTATTTTGTAACGAAAACTGTTTATGCAAGAGCAGTCCATAAATCACACGTTCATTAAAATTGTTAGTTGAAAAAGTATTATGCGAACAATCAACTATTAAGTAGATTGTGCAACGCTAATAGAGCATGGAAGCGTCACAAGATGATAAAACATTCTCAGAAACTTCTAAGTGAAGTTTATCTTGATCTACTGACCATTGGCCTCTAATATAGGATCGTACAAACAATTAATTACAAATATTTAATCGTTCGAGACTCTCAAAAGTCTGAAAGAAGCATTTTACCGGATTGTCAACGTTAATCCAAATTTCAAGGGCGTTCGTGTTCAGACTTCCATCGTTAAATTGACCGCTCATCCGATTCTTAAACACACGTCCTTGTCATCGCCTTCATTGGAAATCATACATCGTTGATCAATTCAAACTAATTTCCATGATTACCGACAATCCTCTCAAATATTATGTAGTCAAGAGTTCATGCTTGTGATCCATACAATAAGGAAAACACAGCGTATTTGATTATTACGTACGTCTGTTTGAATTGGTGTAATTAATAAGCCTCTTTAGAAACATTACTCGAAGTGGACATAGAATATGTTGCAATAATACTTGAGATCTCATTTAAATTTCAAATCAGGGCGTTTACAGAATTATTACCTTTTGGTTCCTGTACCCGGTGGAATCGGTGTTCTGAAGGTCGTGCATGGGATCAATGTTAATGACCTGTTGGTGTACCATCTGACCTTCTCGTGTCATCTCACAAACAGATCTACAAACTTTTTAGTGTCTACTTCAGGTTCTTCCACAAACACGTTTTTGCATCTTGACATCATGATGAGCGCAATTAACTTTTTCCAGTTCTGCAATCTAGACTTCTTTGGCAAAGAAACTTCCTTGGTATAATTTTCAAATTTCTAAATTACCCACTCTACAAGATCATTCGAAGGTCTCTCACTGGTTATTTTCCATCCAAGCATCATTCAGCTGGTTTCGCTAGTTTCTGAAATCAAGGTGAAAATTGTAAAATTATGCAATCGAATGATCGAGCAAAATGGAGGAGGTTGTGAGGATGAGAAGTTAATGATAGAAGGAAAGATGGTCGGGTTCACGGGCAGAGGAAGACCGCGTAATGAATTTCAAACGTTCACAATCAGAAACTCATCTTCGTGCATGGAATACTGATCGAGCTGCACTGTTCTGGCCTCTGTGACTTTGTTCTTTACAAACGGAACACGTGTCACCAAAAACGAGTCAACCATTGAAACACGCGCTATTACGAGGTCCTTGCCAGACCATTTATCATTTTGGAGGTTGCATCCTTCATATTTGACTTTTATTCTTTTATGGTTATCAATTGTTTTGTGAACACGTTTTATCACAAATGTTAAATCTCACATTTTCCAGGTTAACTTCCAAATCTTCAAAAGAGGTAGACAGCGTTCAAATTTTACTTTCGCCCACCGAGGCAAGAAAAGCGAAGCGACACTCAAGGCCGTCAGAGCGAATCTGGTCGCCCGAGTTCGCAAACTGGTCGTCGTAAAAAAAGGAGAGAAAGATAGAATTTCACGGTAGTCCGTAAATGTGTTTTGGATAGCGTTGTTTCCACATAGTTCCACTTTTCCCCGGTTCGCCAAAGGTGTAATTAGCCTGGTCAAAGCTCCCGACCGAATGTTATTTTAATGAAATCTCTAGACCACTGTTACTCAATCATTTCGAGTCGTGAATGTCTCTCATTGGATGTTAATATTATAACCATTAGTGGACTTGAAAATGTTTAGGATGAAATGTTTTCTAGTAATGATTAATCTGCAGGAACGTTTCTTTAGAATTCGCGGTCTCAAGAATCTAGACGATAAAGAAATTAATCTGATTGATTAGAAAGAATGTGGAAAGAACGTGTACCAAGGAACAGGATATTCTACGTTTTGCAATTACCCTTTATAATCCACGTGAACGCACGTACCACTTGGTCAAGAGGCGAAACAACCGCGATCTTCGACTTTCTACGAGAAACTTGCGTGCGATTGCTCCACGAATTTTCGAATACAAAACTATGTTCTAGCAAACGCGTAATATCAATTACATTAACTATTAAGGAAAAATAAATTGGAAAAGCTTGTATTTGCTGAGCAAACGAATCTGTTCAAGTAAGTTGATCGCAAACAACTTTGTCGAGTTACAAAAGAAATTAACCAAACAGTCGTTAAGTGATCTCACGAACATAATTACCTGAGACAATCTATGAAAAATGAAACATGTAAATACTGTATTTCATTACTTTTAATCGTCGCAAATGATCCGAAAGTATAATTGGGAATAAAAAGTATGATAAATTATAGACCGATGCTCACAGTTAATAATTTAGTTTTTTAATCCGCGCTTCTTAGGAACTTGTTTCGTAACACGTAGTATTATGCAAATGAAACTAGATTCTGTATGTATTCCTCTCGATGAAATTTACAAAAGGTATACCTCGTCTGACGCGTGCAAGACTCGCAAACGATGAGGAACAAATACTAGGTCGACCGGTAACCCACCTGTTGCCGACGATTAATTTCCTGTCCTTGTTCTTTCGGAGAGAAGGAGATACTTTATTCTGATCAAACTTGTAATCCTTCTTCGGGTACAAATTTAACATGCAGTAGACTTCTGTTATATTGCCACGAGGAGCAGAATATTTTTATAAAAACCCAACAAGTTCTTTGAACTCCGTGTTTGAAAATGTTCAGGATATTTACTCTTTGTCGTTTCAGGTATGGAGGAGACGGTGAAGCTGGTGCAAGCTGCAGGTGGCGTCTGTTACGGCTACGTTTGCGATTTATGCGACCGCGAGGATGTCTACAAGAAAGCGGCGCTGGTCAAGGAAGAGGTTGGCAAGGTGAGAATTCTGCAACTTAACGAGCAGTTGAAAATTGCTAGCTACCATGTATACCATACCACAACAGAATTCTTTGTTAGAATTTGGAAAGAAATATGCGAATCGAAAGTCGGTGAGGAATTCAGTGATAGATTTCGCAAGAGGGTTGTCCGTAAATGTGAAACGAATTCTAGCATAACAAGGAACTTGAAGCGTGTTCGCAAGATCGGAAGTTTCGAGAGTGTTCACCAAGTTGTGGCGAGGTCTGCCTCTAGGAGGCGACATTGTGAAATCATCCGTTGCGACATAGCGCTGCAATATATTGCCAATAACGTCTCAAAAAACGTGGAATTTATTAGCGATTAATACCTTTTTTGTCTGTTTAAATCATCATTTAACGTTGTGATCCGAACCGGAAAACCTTGAGTTTAAAATTAATGTTTGCATTTTACAGGTGACAATTCTCATAAACAACGCCGGTGTCGTCAGTGGGATGAAATTTTTGGATACTCCGGACAAGCTGATTATTCGGACGATGGACGTGAACGTGATGAGCCACTTTTGGGTATGTTTCATTCTGGAGTTATTCGAAGAAGTCCACGACATGGAGCTGTTCAGAATAAAAATGCGCATCTAACAGTCAGGATTTATGAGTAATCTTGAGATGATAACGTGCAGATTTATGATAGATCAGAGAAGATCTGCGCGTCCTTGAGTTCGTCCAGATCTACGTGGCTCGAATTAAAATTCCACCGTGTCTTTTTATTCGTGGCCAGAGGCATGTACACTTCCGAGCACTGTAAACTTCGCTAGAGAAAATGACGACGAGGAGAAAGGCCTCTTTCTATGAAAGCCGTGCATGCGTACGGTATTCTCCAGCTAGACGATCTCCTTCTCCCATATTGTGGTATCCACCACCCTAAGGAGTCCCCACTGCATGCCCTGTGCCTAATTTGCACGGGTAGCGGGGCCTCCGTAGAAAGGCTAACATGCTCGTCGCTGTACCTTACACTCTTTGGGTCAGCTAGGAAAACTGGTCGCATAGATGCAGTCACTCGGCTATGTAGTGTGTCGCAATTACAACACGCGAGCTCGATTGCCAAACCCAGTCACCGATAGTGCTAAACCGCTTCCTACTTTGGGAAACGCTCATGTTTCATGCACTCGAGTTTTTCGTATAGTTACAATTAATCCTTTATCAAATTTCATGGACTCGTGAGAGACACGCACGTTTACGTAATTGTCAACTGAAATACCATCTGGCTCTTATGACTTATGGTTACGTTTGTACGCAATTCGATACGTGAAGTTATAAAATGTTGAATTTATAATTTGTAAGAATATTGAAAGATGCATGCCATTCTATGCAAATGTTGAAACGAGAAACAGGTTGTCCCTTGTTTTTTGTCGCGGAGTTCTCTATTTATAATAACGACCGAATGTTCTTGTAAACGATTCTGAATGTTGTTCTCTTGTACGACATCGTGGAAGAGCTTTTTACTTCCTAGCGCCGTTTTTGCGTGTCGCCAAGCATTGTCAATGTAACGGGATACAGAGTGAAAGTTCGTCATCCGCGCGGAGCATCATTGATGCCGATGAACGAGTCTATCTAGTCGTGTAGATTCGGAGCACGAAGGATGAAAATTATAGCCCAACCGGGCCAAGAATACCGATTCTGCGAGCCTTGTTACATCACACGTTTAACAGCAATTGACATATTCGTTTTATAATGTGAAAAAAGAAGCGAAACTGGGACAAGGACTGCCGGTTGTGTCGCACGAAAACTAACGATCGAGTCTTGTAATACCATTTTTTTAAATTTGCAATTGCTTCGGAAACGTCTACATGTTTTGTAATATCGTCGATTTTACCTGTTGACCATCGCGTGAAATTCTTGCTAGTGGAATCGCCGATTACCGAAATAACGTTGGCTAACACGACTCTTTTTTCTGGGATTTTAACCTTTGCTCCCGCTCGAGGGACATCGTTACGTGCGATTTTACTTTCGAAAGTGAAAACTAAGGGAGCAAGTGAAAGAAAATAGACTATGGCTTCCGAGGAAGTGGGTCAACGGCTTCGTCAAAAGTACAACCGTAGACCTCTTACTGCATCCGATGTCACGGTCATTTCGGCAGGATCCCGCTTTCCAGTGGCCCCTTCTTATTTCACCAGTTTTGCTACATGTTTTCTTTTGTACAAACTAGCACAGTTATATTTACTTATGGTAATAGCAGTGTACTACCTTTAGCTAGGAATTTTATTTCATTATTTAGCTAAGAATTAGTTTCACCTTCAATTTTAAAAGATTTCAGAATATATAAATTATAAATTAACAATGTTAATTTTTTTGTTAAGACCACGAAGGCATTCCTGCCGTCAATGATGGAGAACAATAAGGGCCACATCGTGAGCATCGCCAGTCTGGCTGGCCACATAGGAGTGCCAAAGCTAGTGGACTATTGCACCTCGAAATTCGCAGCGATCGGTTTCGAAGAAGCCCTCCACATGGAACTAGCGGTAACATATTTTATTCTGAGTTAATTAAATCAATTCAGTGTATAATTAAAGTCGTATGTTACAGGCTGAGGGATACAACATCAACACGACTGTGATATGTCCCTTCTTCATTCGTAGTACGGGCATGTTCGACGAAGTTGCGCCTAGGTAAGCATTCCGACACACGTGAACTTGCATTTGGTTTGACACTTGACTTTATTCAGATTCTTCCCGAAACTGAGCCCGAACGAGGTGGCGGATCGCGTGGTGTCTGCTATGAGGTGTAACGAGAAGATTGCGGTAGTGCCTGGTTATCTTTATCTTCTACTTGTTTTCAAATGGTAAATGATTTGTAATATGAAGAAGAATAAGTTAGTAGTATAAGCTTGATCGTTTAAATGACTTGCAGGATTTTCCCGTGGGCCTGCGCGGGAAGGTTAATACGCGGCATAGTGCCCACCACTGTCACATACACGTCGTACGAAGTTAAACCTAACAAGGAACCTGCACCTACCGTGCTGTCTAAAGAACAGAACAACGGAAACATTCATCAACAATTAACTAGACGCGTATCCAGTTCCGAGAGGAAACCTTAATCTGATCGATCAGTACGTTTACCGTATCTTTCATTTTCACGGGTGCAAAAATTTCTGAAGGAAAGAAAAAACGACTTATAGTAGTTTAGATGTTGACCCGTTTTGTAAAGTGTACCGCGTTTTCGTGCGTGACACACGCACGTTGGAATTTGTTGTATGTATATACAAGACAAAAAGACATGAACGAGTTATTGCGCAATATTGGGACATGTTTCGTAGAACGAGACGAAGAAAAAGAAGCGTTGGTAAAGCGGGTGTCTTTATCACGGCTCTATGGAGACAGCCTAATAGAGAGACTTGTATCTCGAATCGAAAGAGATTAATCGTAAGAAAAATGCACTTTGGTGTTAATTGTTGAAAAAACAAATGCACGTACACGGTGATATTAGTTGGAAAAATATTTTCGATGCATATATCAAAATTGTCCAAACTTGTTGTTTGCACGAACAGTTGCACAGACGTCCATCGCGTATTTCGACGTTCTTGTATAATAATCGTATGTTACTTACTGATACTGTAAGTAAAAAATGGTCTAGACGACACGGGTACAATTTATACAATCGGCGACTATGTGATACAATGAATATTGTACATCAACATTAGTATAAGGATTTGCTTAAGAATAGGTTAAGGATTTTCTATTTGTATTTTGTGATTGTAGAAAAACGTGTGTTCGAAACATGTTGCAAAAATGATTCACGAATGTCAAACGATAGCAAAAGAAAATAAATTTTGTCATTTTTACGTGTTGGCCCATTTTAAATTATCAGCCAAATAAATTTGTGGCGTATCAAGGCATACCGTAATACGATATTATTTGTGCCATATGTTTTTCGTAATACGCTGTTCTATAACATTGTAATAAAGTCAGATTTTCTACTCTTCGTAATTTGTATATTTAGGAGCCCGGATTTACGTATCTTTAGCGAAATATTTTGTTACATATAGAAATGGTATAATTACGATTGTTGATGCATAAAGGCATTAGAAACTGCGAAATCTATGACCGGCTTTCACTGAAGTTTCGCCGTTTCCTGGAGTCACCGATGTTCCAGTTTTTAATTTCATAATAAAATTACACGCATCATTTGAACATAATTTATAGCGAGTACGTAATTTTATAACCAGCGTCAATGTATTACGAATTAATATTATACGTATAAACACAGACAGATGTACGAATCGGAAACGGGAATTTCATGATTATGTCAGCAGCTGATAACTCGTTCGTTTTATAGACGCGAGAGTACATGCGGTCACAGTTTTTTATTCGCTTCTGTTACTGTGTCAACGAAATACAGCGATAATGAACAGCATACGCTTCGGATATATATTGCATAAACATTGCATCGCAATCGCGCTAGAACTTGACGTGTTTTCTTGTCGCTTCGTTCGCTAGTCGAACGCTTGAAAATTCGAAAGCATATCTCGCCTCTGAATTTAATTTTAATTTCAATTCGAAATGGGCGACTGGCTCGTTTTTTTCCGATCATACAAGAGTAATTGCACGGTGATAGCAGGCATCACACGTGAAATAAAGTGTATGCAAACATAGCAAAACATTGACGATACTGTCAAGGCTGATCGTATCAATAAACAAACGCATATCTGTTAACTCCCAATAACACGTTAAACGTAAAAAGAAAAAAGGAACCGTTGCACAAGTGTCTTTCGGAATCTCAATTTACGACAAAACGACTTTCTTTGCTCGTCAGAAAACATGACTACTATTCGAGAACTAGGCCACCGGATGAAATCGTGGCTGTACAATTTCTAACGTTCTCAGTCCGTCGGAGACACCCTGTACATGGAAGCATCGATATCGTCTATCTGTTACATGTACGTGACACAGGAGACAATGTTAGCTCGCGACTAAAACCGTTTAAGTCCACAGCAAAATAATAACTATGATGCATCCAGTCGAACGCGTACTTCGCTGTCACTCATTTCACGCGATAGTCAAGAATTGATCGATCGCCGGGAACATCTATAAGAATGTCAGAAGATATACTAGCTGAACTTGAGACATCGTACTACTCATTTTTTACTACAATCGGTTCGAATCCATGTGAAAGATAAACATCGATCCGCTATTACGAAGAGATAGCAAATCAGCTCGATCTTTTTCCTTCTTCTTTTTTTCCAAACTCGAACGACGAGGACGCACGTCGTTATCATAGCGCAAATAGCAAGAACAGTCGCGTTCAGGTACCGTACGGTGCCGATTCCACGAGTTACGTTCAAATTTACAATAATCACAAGTCCGAAGATGGATCGATTTTCTTCGAAGGATCAATGTTGAATGCTGATCGTGAAGATGAGACTCCTTAAAGCGATACTCTTCGTGATTCTTCTGTGTCGCGAATTGGGAGATTCCCAAAATGTGGAAATGAATATCTTGAAGCTCTGTGTTTCTCAGACTACATGTGGGGACTGTTTGCAAGCCAACTTCTCCTGCTCGTGGTGCAGTGCCTGGGTAAATATCTAATCCTGCAACATTGATACTCAAATTAATTTTCCACCCTCTAAAATTCGCATTTATATCATTTCTGCATGATAAGGGTCCACATTAACCCTGTTTTCAGTCTTACTCCAACTCAACCATCGGTAGACCTCGATGCAACGCCCCAGAGAGACTGAAGGCATTCGGTTGCCCTTCGGATCAGATTCGCAATAATTCTCTAGGATCAATAGACTTCTTGGAGAACGCAGATTTTCAGGACATGTCAGAGACCGGACAAACACCGCTGCAGTTGAAGCCTCAGAGAGTAAAAGTTAGAATCCAGCCACATTCCAAGATAGAGATTCCGATCCATTATCGGGTAGCCAAGTACGTTTAATTCTAGAGCGATAAGTTTCGTGGAATTACGCGATTAATCAAAAAGTATAACGATATAATTTAGAAATTATCCTCTGGACTTGTACTACCTGATGGACCTGACATGGTCGATGAAGGACGACAAGGAGACCCTGGTCAGTCTGGGACAAGACATGAGTCGAGCGTTCGGTACTATTACCAGCAATTTCCGCCTGGGATTTGGCAGCTACGCCGACAAGCCCTTGATGCCCTTCATCTTTCCGGGACACGAGAATAATCCTTGCCAGAGCGAACGCACCGTTTGCGCGCCCCTCTACGACTTCCAACACCGCCTGAAACTGACCAACAACATTTACCAATTTACTAAAGAAGTATGCCTCAAGTTAAACAAATGAATTGAAGAATTTAAAGTGTACGTTTCAGGTGAACGAGAGTCAAGTAACCGGAAACGTGGACAATTTGGAGGGTGCGCTGGACGGAATAGTACAAGCGATCCTCTGCAAGCAACAGGTTGGGTGGGAACAGCAGGCACGTAAGATCATCCTAGTGGCAACCGATGGCTCTGCACATTTCGCCGGGGACGGAAAGGTAACGCGAATCGATGATCAGAAAGTAAAGTATCTGATGTGTCTTCTTATTAGCTAGGTGGTGCTGTGGCGCGTCAGGATTTCGAGTGTCACCTCGACGAGCAGGGACAGTATTCAATGGCTACCAAATACGATTACTGCTCTCTGGCAGAGTTGTCCAGACTGCTGCAGGAACACAAAATCAACTTGATATTCGCCGTGACCGAGGATCGACGTAGCGAGTACGAATCAACCGCTGCGTTGCTGAAAGAAAAAGCGAGAGTCGCTACTCTGACCAGCAACAGCTCCAACATACTCGAAATCATCAAGAGCGCTTACCAACAGATCACAAGCAGAGTGATTTTGAGCGACAACTCCTCGGCTCCTCTGCGAATGGAGTATTTCTCTAATTGTGGCAATAGAGACATTGCAGAGTGGAGTACCTCGGAATGTGAGGACATAGAGGAAGGCCAGGTGTACAACTTCAACGTAGTCCTCTCCATCGACAAGTGCCCCAGCAACGAAAGCCTATGGGTAAATAAAATTAATTAATGTTCACTTCCAGAGTGTAACAGTTTATATTCCTTAGAAACAAACCATCGTGATCGAGGATGCGCTAGCCTCTGAGGTATCCAAAGTGGTGGTCGAAGTCGAGCTGCTCTGCGGTTGCAATTGCAACGACCCTGAAAGCCCTAATTGCGAGCATGGAACGGATTATTGCGGTGTTTGCAAATGTGATCGTGGCTGGTCTGGTGAGTACCATAGATATACTTCTCTAACTCTTCCTTGACTGAAGTTTTATTAACAGGGGAGAAGTGTGACTGCGACGAGCGATCGCCGACGGAGAACCGGCTACAATGTATGGAGCCTAACTCAACGAAAATTTGTTCCGATAGAGGCGAATGCGTTTGCGGTAGCTGCCTCTGCGATCAGGGGTACAACGGACAATTTTGCGAGTGCTCGGAATGCGACAAGGTAGAACGCAGTGGCTCTGACATAATGCAAATAGTCATCCAATTTTATCTTATAAAATTTCTAAATAGAAGTACTGTCGCTTAGAAGTGAAATCTCTTGCAGATCGATGGTATAGAATGCTCGAACAGAGGAATTTGCAAATGCGGTGTCTGTCACTGCATCGAAGGCTGGCAAGGAGACGCCTGCAAATGTCCATCGACGGATGATGCGTGCATAGCTCCAGGGAGCAACGAAGTGTGCGCTGGACACGGGTACTGCGACTGTGGAGAATGTCGGTCCGTCAACATTACATAATTTTAATTCAATACTTTTCATAAACAAATGACTGAAATTGGCGTCTGTTTAGATGCAACGTTACAACGGAGGATAACTTTTATTACCTTGGTACTTACTGCGAATCTTCGATCAGCTCTGGTGGCAGTGCTCTCTGCGTTCTTTATAATCCCTGTGTGAATGCCACTGTTGAAGATCCTGAGATGGTGGACGAATTTTGTCAGACGAACGTTACCTCTTACAAAACTGAACTGGTAAACGTCGTGGATAAAGGTAACGATAGACTGAATAAATCTTAATTTTCAGATTATATCAGTACGTTTTGTAGGAAACGAACGCTACTGTTTTGTGAAGAACGTGAAGGATAAAACGATCTGTATCATACCGTATGTGTATGAGTTCCAGAAAACCCATGTGGTTGCTTTGAACATAGGAAACAAGGTGAGACACGGTTTGCAACAAGTATATTTGCAAAGATTTTTTATCGAAATCTTGTGACATTTTTAGGAATGTTATACTCCGATGCACGCGGCAGTCATTCCGGCTTTGATCATATTTTTAATACTGACAATTGGAATCATTTGTTTATTAATATGGAAGTGAGTACTTCTCATGAACAATCTTTATATTATATTTCTTTTCTTTAACATTGATCGTGTCTGCGTAGGTGTTGGACTTCTATACAAGATAAAAGAGAGTACGAAAAGTTCCAGAAAGAACGGGAGAAAACTATATTTAGTTTGCACCAAAATCCTCTATTCAGGTCCCCCATAACAGAATTCAGGGTACCCTCGATGTACAAAGAGGATTAATTGAATGCTCAAAACTGCGCTCATCGAATTAATTTAATTCGCCTTCGCCATAAGATTCTCCAGAATATGTGGTGGATTGATCAGACAATAGGTCGTGCCAAAAATGGTTTCCAGGTGAAAAGGAAATCGTCTGTAATCGCGATTGATATGTTAATATCATATCGCAGTCGTTGATCGGCTGATTTAAAAACAATGTTTACATTGTCTGTCGCATTTGCAAGTGTCCACTCAAACCCGCGAGGTTCTCTGTAGATAACGTTCGTAAGTGGTTTATTATCGACCCAATTAGCCTCAATTGAGGATCCATCCGGAAATACATACGTTCCTGGACCGTGCATTGTTCCGTTCGCTTCGATTCTACCTCGGTACTGAGCGTTGTTATTATATCTTTAATTATTAAATTTAAATTTATTTATTATATTGTATATTATAGAATGTATGTAGTAGGCTCTCGCTATATTGCCGCATCCACGTGGGCTTTGATACGGCGCTCACTACTTCCGTGACAATATAACGAGACTACTATATTCAGAAGTACGAACGAAATTAAGAGGAATTATATCTACCGAACGTAAATTGTATCTTCGGCAAAAGTGTCATTATCCCATTGGCCATCGTAAACGTCAAAGTTATCGGTAGTGTATATTCCTCTTCCTGTATAAAACATACATGTTGATGATTAAAGAAGGAAATATGTATTAAGTATTTTATGTCAACCTTGTTTGACCAAAACAGATTGCGCGTAATTGCATTTGTATTCGCCGTTATATACATCCCCGTTATGAAATGTAAATTTTCCAAATCCAGTTTGATCCCCGCTTTCGGGGAAATCTGTCTTTTGCGTTTTACCGGCGCCGCGTTTTTTCATATTAGGGACCGTGTACAAGAATAATTGAAGTTTAAAATTTGAGACAACAGGAAGGTCGGTAAGAAGATTAAGTTCCTCTAATCACCACTGATATCGTTAGCGCTAAATAAGATGCTAGTCAGGCTACTTCGGCTAACGAATCACGGCACTCGTTCTATTTTATCAATGACATTGTTGGTTATAAGCCAGAAAACCTTGACATGAATTTTCAAATTCGATTCAAACAAAAAAGTGATTTTGTTGCTGTTGTATTTTTATTTTGTTTTCTTTTTGTTCAGTGACGTCTTGTAATATCCGGCTAAAGATTTTTTTAATTTGAGAACCTGCTTTAAACCTAATGCCACGTGACCTTGTAAACGACCTCTTATTCGGTACATTCATATCGTCCGTTCCTAGTTCACGATAACCCCACAGTTCTGACACGCTCGAAACACGTTCGTTCCCCGAGTGTTCGAGCGAAAACGTCGTGCAAAATCGAATTTCCCCGACTTGCTATTGAAATTGGTAGTAAAAGATTCACGAATCATCTAAGATATGATACGAACGACAACAGGTCTACGTAATGAATTGGCACGAGCTATACTTCGAAATTCTGTACGGACGACCGCCGTAAGATGCATGGTACGATGTCTTCACAGAAAATATCTACAGAGGTATTTAATTTCTTCCTCACGATCATGTTTCTTTGCTTGTAAAATATGCAGCCGTTCTGGAGTTCAGATTTGCATTAATACTCGTCGTTAAGGTTATCTTAATGATTGAATTCATTATCATTCCTCCTACTTTTCTACTTCAAAAATTCTTGTCACCTGTTGTTTCTCGATGCCTTTGAAATCTTGGGCACATAGTTGCAAACATAGAAATTAATCCCTTATCAAAAAGAAATAATTTTACACAGGAAATTGCTGCATCCCTGATGTTTAGCATTGGTATTACATTTAGAGTAACACTTAAAAAGTCAACTTCATGCCATCTCCTAATTCTTAACAGTTTTTAAAATAAGAAAATGTCCTTCTTGGTATTCAGGATTCAGGTACACAATGCTTTGCGTGTTACGGTAACTCCATGGAAACAACACATAAGATTTTATGCTGATTATCCTGACCATATCAAAGTGCAACTTCCTGCATTATCACCTACCATGGAAACTGGTACTATCATTAGTTGGCAGAAAAAAGAAGGTAAGTCTAACAGTTTAAGAAAACCAATTAAACCAACAATGATTTTCAATGTTTTATTGTTTGATTCTAGGTGATAAGTTAAATGAAGGTGACCTTTTGGCAGAAATTGAAACCGATAAAGCTACAATGGGTTTTGAAACACCAGAGGAAGGTTACTTAGCAAAAATTTTAGTACCAGCAGGAACGAAAAATGTGCCCATTGGAAAACTTGTTTGTATAATTGTATCGGATGAAGCAAGTGTAGCAGCTTTTAAAGATTTCAAAGATGATTCTCCAGATACACCTGCACCTTCTGCTCCTGCTCCTGCTCCTACCCCTGCTGCTCCGACACCATCCACTCCTCCCCCATCGCCAGTAACACCACCAGCACCTGCAGCTGCAAAATCAATGGCTGCACCATCTGGTGAAAGAATATATGCTAGTCCATTAGCTAAAAGATTAGCAGCAGAAAAAGGCCTAAGTTTACAGGTAGCTTAACTCAAACTTAAATTGCTAATACACTAGTTGTGTTATATATGAATTTTAAATGATTCTGTGATTTTAAAGGGCTTAAAAGGTACAGGATTGTATGGATCTATAACAGTAAAAGACTTGGAAGGAGCACCAGCTGCTGCTGCTCAACCAGGAGTAGCAGCAGCAGCTCCACTTCCACCAATTGGTGTTCCAGCTGGAATAGATATTCCTGTATCTACTATCAGAGGTGTAATAGCCAAACGTCTTCTGGAAAGTAAACAGACTATTCCACATTATTACTTATCGATAGATGTAAACATGGATGCCGCTTTAGAAATGCGGGAAAAGTTTAATAAAATGCTGGAGAAACAAAAAGTAAAACTTAGTGTAAATGACATTATCATCAAAGGAATGGCAATGGCCTGTAAAAAGATACCCGAGGGTAACAGTGCTTGGATGGGTGATTTTATTAGACAGTATGTTACTTACTCGCAGTCATACGATTTAATAACTGATCTATAAATATTTGATGTCATAATGTCTTTTATTTTTTTAAGATATAACAGTGTTGATGTCAGTGTAGCAGTCAGCACAGATAATGGCCTAATTACACCAATAGTTTTTGGTGCAGATACAAAGGGTATAGTTCAAATTAGTAAAGATGTCAAAGAATTAGCTAACAAAGCGAGAGAAGGAAAATTACAGCCACAAGAATTTCAAGGAGGAACCATCACTGTATCAAATTTAGGAATGTTTGGCATTAAAAATTTCTCTGCAATTATAAATCCGCCCCAGTCCATCATTCTTGCTGTAGGTACAACCGAAGCAAGACTAGTACCTGCCAAAAATGAACAAGGGTAAGTATTCTTTGATATCTATCGATATTTGGGATCTAATTTTCTTATCGCTGTTGTAGGTACAAAACGACCCAAGTTATGTCCGTTACTGCCAGTCTCGATCACCGTACCATAGACGGCGCTGTAGGTGCTCAATGGTTAGCTTCCTTCAAAACCTTTATGGAAAATCCAACAACTATGCTATTGTAGTAAGTCAATCGTTAAAATATTCATTTAGATAGCTTAAATGAGCGTAACTTATATAAAAAAAACATTGTTCTGTTCAGGTACTAAAGGTGACGATGAATGTCCTGTATATTTGTGTATAGTACAATATTAAATTATATATTACTTTACGCATTTGTAAATTGTTGATTCTTAATAGGTTCAAACTTTGAACTGGTTTTATTTTTCGTATCTGAAAATAATTATATGTCGTTTAGCGACGTGTCGCTAACACCATTAGGCCTAATTTCTTTTTAATTAAAAAGTTTTATATATGTGGTTTTTCATCAAATGTAAAGTAAAAGACTGATGATTAATTTCATTACAGGAAAATATACATTACTGAATAATTTATAGATCACCTTTTTAAGATTAATTAAGATCGCCTTTTTTTGCCAAGTTTACAAAATTTTGTTACTTTATTATTTATTTGAGAAACCACAACTTCCCCTAGCAATAGAGGCCACGTGTAAATATATGTATTTATGAGATAATTTTATGGCCAATATTATATTGCGATAAATATAATTGTAACTTAGGAGAAATCAATAAAAAAAGTGTCAAAATGTTTATAGTAAATAGTACACGTAAATATAAAAGTGTGTATCATATTTAATAAATTATAACTTAATAAAGTCAAGATTATTTTTATTATTATAAGATTATGTAACAATAAATGTCGTAATCGTGTAATAGATATGTAGAATTTACATAACTATGTAAATATATGTACAAGAATGTTACATCTATAGGCGGCGGTATAAATCCCCGATCGAAGTGCCATCTACAAGAAAAATTTGTATGTTTATGTCATAAACTTGTTTATAAAGTGTTGTGGATACAATTAAAAATATAAATTATTCACAATGCCAATTTTGGATAAACGTAAAGGAGATGATATTTTAGCACTAGTTCCTGCATCGAAAAGGACTAAAAATGAAGTGGTCTTTAGCAGCAGAGAAAAAGCAGTTGTACAAAATGTAAGTAAAACTAACCTCAACACATCATGTTTAAGTAATTTTTGTATCAGAAAGTTACGTTATTGTTATATAGGGACCACCCAGAACATCAAATTTATTTGCACCGATTATGCTACTGGAGGGACACCAAGGAGATATTTTTTCCCTGGAGTTTCATCCAGAGGGTCAATATCTTGCCTCCACAGGCTTTGATCGGCAAATATGTATGTCATTCATAAACTAAAGGACTTGAAATATATATTTTATATAAGGAAATATTAAGTGATATAAAATTTGCAGTTATTTGGAATGTATATGGAGAATGTGAAAATATTTCTGTAATGACTGGACATAGTGGAGCAATCATGGAATTACATTTTAGCCCTGATGGTAATCACTTGTACACAGCTAGTACAGATATGACCCTAGGTTTATGGGATATAGTGGCTGGAACTAGGATAAAAAAACTCAAAGGTCATACATCTTTTGTAAACTGTGTCTCTGGAGCAAGGAGAGGTCTTACACAACTTTGTTCAGGTAGTGATGATAGTACTATACGTGTTTGGGATCCCAGGAAAAGAGGGCAATGTTATACTCTCAACAATACATATCAGGTAATGTTCTCTTAGAAGCTCCAAACTTTTGCCTTAACTAATTGCATTTATCAACCTTTATTTACTTATTCTTTTTTTTTCATGTAGGTTACTGCTGTAACATTTAATGATACAGCAGAACAAGTAATAAGTGGTGGTATAGATAATGATATAAAAGTGTGGGATTTAAGAAAGAACTCTATTCTCTATAAACTCAAGGGACATTCTGACACTATAACTGGTTTAAGTCTTAGTCCAGATGGTTCTTATATACTTTCTAATGCTATGGATAACACATTAAGAATTTGGGATGTAAGACCATTTGCTCCTTATGAACGTTGTGTCAAAATTTTATCTGGCCATCAACATAACTTTGAAAAGGTATGCTTTTAGATAACTCTTTATGTAAAATTGATTTTCGTAATTTTATTTATTTCTATCATTACAGAATCTTTTGAGGTGTGCATGGTCACCAGATGGTAGTAAAGTATCAGCTGGATCATCAGATAGGTTTCATTATATTTGGGATACTACAAGCCGTAGAATATTGTACAAATTACCTGGTCACAATGGTTCTGTTAACGATATCGATTTTCATCCAAAGGAACCAATTGGTAATATGAATAAGATTATAATTATAATGCATGTTACAATGATTCTAAATACATTCTTGTTTTACAGTTTGCTCTGGATCTAGTGATAAACAAATATATTTAGGAGAAATTGAAGCGGCACAATGAAACCATACACTTCGCGATTTTTATATTTAAGGACCTGTTACGAAGAAAATAGTTTAATATAAAATTGAATGAACAATTATGACTTCAATTCGCCACAGAAAAATAAATCAGCGGAAAAGCTATTTCTTGTATAAATTTATTAATATAAATGTAAAAAGTATACATTAAAACATTTTACAAATTGCTGTACTTTTATTTTATATAACATTAATTATTGGTGTTCAAATTTTTTACGCTCTGGAAATTATATATCGTTACTTCGATTGCACATATCGATCTTTCTGCAAATTGACATTGATTCAACTTCACACGATATTTACATATATATATCTGTATTCAGTCATATATGACTCCAGTGGATTCTAGTTCGATATCGTTTATCTGTTTTATTGTATCGTCTTCCAAATTTTTTTTATTTAATCATCCTAATTTTAAGGTACATTTTATATATTTATTATTCGTTAGAAAGTGTAATTAATGTAGTATAAATTAATGGAGTCTTGCAATGTCATTTTAAACGATTGAGTGAATTGCACAATTTTGAGAAATATAATTTCTGCGCTATGATTATGCCAAAATCTTAATTATAACAAATTGAAAAAGGTCATAAACTTATTTTGTATGAAAATTTGGCATTGATTTGATTTTAAATTGATTCAGTATTGTATGACATATAACTTAACCTTCACTGACGTATCTATAATCATTAACAAAAATAGAATAAAACTATATGTTTGATATTCTTTAGTGCTACATTTTGTAGGTTTTTTAGATTCATTTATTGTTATCGGGATGTCGACTCCGTGGGCAAAAATTCAGCCAGTAGAAGGGCCCATCAGCTTATTGGAGATAACTTCAGAACAGCTTGCAAGCAGTTTGCAAGAAAAGTAAGCAATAAATAATTCATTATACTTTCTTATCTTAGAAATAGAAGTAAAGTAGCCAACTTTTTATTGATAGAGAAATAAAAAAGTATCAGAATGAAATATCAAACGATGTAAACATTGAAGATTGCACAGTATGTGAATGTAATGATACAGATAATGATGAAGTGATTGCACATATGTTGCAAGATCAATATAACAAAGAACACGATGAAATTCTAAAACGCACAGAAGAAAAATTCAACCGTGATGCTAAAGGTAATATCAACTTTCATTAAATCAGGTAATAAATAGAATGAATTTTTTATTCTTTACAGTTAATATTACCTATGCAAACTACCGAGTACATTCATTTGATAATCAGGATGATAAAGACAAAGATATCGATGATGCAACAAGAGATTTTGATAGATTTGTGGTAAGTACTCTATGCTATGCACTTTTTGTACTTGAATCAAATGGTTGAAATGAATGTAATGCGTTTACAGAGTATAGAAAAGGAGTATGCATCCATACCACGTTGCGGTTACAAAAAAATGGGTGAAGGATCACAGATTGTTACTAAACATGATATGCTCATGTCTTCAAGGATAAATGCTTGCAGAGTTCTACAATTTCCTCCTGGAATAGACACAGGAGACACAGGAAGATTTGATGTCAAATTGAACAACAACGTGTTCAACAGTTTGAGAGCTCATAGCCATGCTAAGTGTTACAAACGAAAACCGAAAGCAAAACCACATACAAAATAAAAAGATAACATATTCTGAAAGTGTAAATATGTTGCAATAACATACTTAAATTTGTTCCTTTTACACAATGTATTGTCAAATCATGGATCTATTTGTTTTGATGCATAGTATATTACATTGTGTGTGATATGTAAAACGTTTAAATCTCAGTTTTTGTGAGTGCGTTTTGATGATTTTCCACTGTGAACAAAGTAAAAGTGATCAACTTGAAATAATATATAATTATTTTTGACACTAAACACTTTATTAAATATAAAATCATCGTCATTATTATATTATCTCTGAGGTGCAAAAATAAATGAAGTATTCTAAATAAGTAGTTTACTTTATTTTCATATATCCTGATCCTAAAAATTATTCTATATGCCTGATAAAATTCGAAAACTCGAAATTTATATTAGCGCGTGCGCACTCCCTGGAGTAACCCAATTCATGGACTAAAAAATTGCCGTCCATCTAGCGGTGAAAGGTAGGAACTAATGGAGCCAAATTTGAAATAATACCCCTCAAGAAATTTTGATTTTCTGGGCTTAATCGGCAATAAAATGCATCAAGTGTTAATAGAAAATTACTTTAGAATGTCCCAGGAATCATAATATATCTAAAAAGCCACGAAATATGACTTTTTATATTTTTCCAATATGCGTGTTCGGACATACGTTTTTTTCGATTAGTTCACCTGTTTCGCTGGACAGATGGCGCTGTATTTTTTCCCATAAAATAACCTTTTTTTAATTTTCGTCTCTAGAGCTTCCAGCAAGCTTTTGTGGCATTATTTCGCTTCTAATTTGATCGCATAGCACTTCTGAAGCTCCCAAAATACTTAAAATTCGCTAATTTTGTCAAAAATCGGATTTTTATATTTTTGTAGTTCCAACTTTCACCGCTAGATGGACGCAGTTTTTTGTGTCCATAAAATGACCATTTTTCTATTTTCGTTTCTAGCGCTCCCAGCAAGCTTTTATGACATTGTTTCGCTTCCTATGCGATCCCATAATAGCATACAAGCCTCAGAAATACTTAAAACTCGCTAATTTGGCAGAAAATCGCAATTTTATATTTTTGTAGTTCCGCCGTTCGCCGCTAGATGGCGCCACCTGTACCGTTTTGGACCTAATTCCATAAAAATCGATTTTTTGGGCTTAATAAACGATAATATGTTACAAATAGCAATATTAAATTGTTTTATAATGCCTGACGCTTGTTTTCTAAGCGATTATATCAATAAATTCGAAAATTATATTCGTAATGTTATTTCATCAGGTCGCGCTTTTGGTATCAGGTAGTGCGCATGCGCTAAACTTCGAAAGACATCAAAAGAGCTTTCGAAATACTTCCAGTTTTTTGAATTAATTATTCCTGAATGTCAAGTTCACGTTAATGAAACGTTAATTTATACAGATTTAATTCATAAACTCCCCGAATGTCCCACCCTATTTCTCAAAAGTAATTTTTTTTTAACTTATTATGTTAATTCATGATTTTCGAATAAGGTGGATATTCTGGTATTGCTGACTAATAGTTTTTATTCGAGGCATTTGATTTAGTTGCACGAGTCTACAGAGTCTCTGCCAGGGTATACTTAATTATCAATTACCGACTAGAATATGAAAATCGATTAAGGTTTGAATAAAAATAAATTTGTTGAATCAGTATAATTTTTATTAACATTTGAATTACAATCACTTTGCACAGAAATTATTCGTAGCTATATCGACAGGGTACTCCATATAATTTAATTTATTTTTAGTTTTTCGAATACTATATATCTCTCGAACTCCTGTATTTAGAACAAAAATACTGTTATAAATAGAAAATATCCACGTCAATACTTACGCAATTGTACATGTATAGCTGTATACCATAACGCGTATATGTATACATGCATCTGTCAGAGAAATTCGTTGTTCTATTTTTAGAAGAGTGCATTTAATCCGCGTTAATATTGCGGTTAGAGTATACGAACGAATTTCCTGAGAAGCAACAAGTGTAACGATTATACTTGAGAACGTAACCGGCAGAATAATTCAGCGTCAAAAGCAACCAGGATGAATAACCTTATGGTCTAAAAATAGTTCAAACAATTCTTCACGCGACACTATTAATACTGCATTACAGTAAGTTTATTTCAATTAGAATGCAAATGGACGAAAAATCCATTTCCGTTTGAAAACAAAGGATCGATCGATCGATGTTATCGAATGCGTAAGCGTGGAGATACGTAAAATGGTGGCTGAAAATCGGAGAGAGAGGAACAGCGACGAGGTATATTTCGAACGGGGCGCGACGGGACAGATTCGACGAGTTTCTACGTCGTTTCTTCTGTCTGTGGTGCACTGTTATCGGCCTGTTATCATCGTGCAACACGTGTCAATATAGGCGCGCGTTGGCCGCGACGCCGGGTGCATTCACCGACACATGCGCACATCAGCTGAACGAAACTCTTCATAAACCGGCGGGAACACGTTTCTCGGGACTCAGTGTACACGATGCCACGGGTTGGCCGCGATAGACTACGCACCACGTATTACATACGCCCTTCCCTTTCTTCGCTTTTCCACCTCGTTAACGCGGTTGTTTTCGTGCTCGAGTTTTCTTGACACGTAGACCACACGCATAACCTTTCTTCTCCGTTCGACGCACACGGCCAGAGTGCACCCACACGTTCGACACAAAGGAGCGCGACCGATGCATCGGTTCACCACCACTCTCCCCCGCCAACGCGAGCGTCAATTTTCGCTAAAGAAACCAGACAAACGGCCGAGAACAGAGACAGAATACTCCTGAAGGAATGACCGTTCGTTTGCTGCTGAAACAAGATCATCGGGGGATCGACGAGATTCGTCCGTCACGCGTACACGGTGAGTGATTGTTTTTGTTTTGATGGGCGCGTCAAACACGTGCGTCGGTGATCTATGCTAAATGTCGCGGTGTTGTGTACAGTTTCCAATTTTTTATCGCTCGTCAGACGCGCCTTAACGTTATTCCGAAGAAACTGATGTAATATCCCACGGTGACGTTGAAACACCCAACTTTTCTAAGACGATGCATAAGCAACTGACGACAAACGTTCGATTTATGCTCGCGATCGAGAGAATCGAAGAGGGTAAAATCGATCGGAAAATAATCGTTCGAGCGACGTCGAATTCGCGCGTTGTTTAGCGTCGTGTCACATTGCGCGCGACCGTTTGATGCTGTCTCAGATTTATAACTGTGTTTCTCGACGAAGCGTAGGAGTAAAAAGCTCGTTTTTTCCCGGACTGTTCTTTTTCTCCCGTTGAAGTTTCTTTGACTCACAGCATCCTTGCGTCGCAACCGCCCAAAATTATTCTTCCCGGTAACACAGACGCGTGGCAATGCCGTCGCGGAATTGCGCACTTCTTTCATGGCACTGTGCCAATTTCAAAGTTCAGGTACTCGAGATCGTGGCTCGTATACAAGGTGTCTCTTTTACTCAGTCAATGAATTTCAGAATCATCCTTTGACCAATTCACATGTTACTTTGTTTTCTGTCGTTGGAGAGTTGATCGATTATGGTGTGACGAAATTGGACGTTTCGAGCGTTATGGAACATGAATAGGCACATGTGGTACTTAAGGATTTAAAAATGGTCGCTACTTGAAAACGAGGTCAACCGGGTTATGGGTTTGTAAGTGTTTCCTTTCAGAGTCAAAGATGTCTGATGGCTTTCTAGTTATAAAAGACTGTCATATCTTCTTGGTCCATTATTTCATAGTGGATACTGTGTATCTAAAACTATAGTTACAGAGGTAAAACTGTTTGAGTGTATACAAATTTGTAGTAAAGGAACTTTAAAATTGAGAATTTTATTTCAGGAATGTGAAAATTCGTATCGAGAGAGCTTGTATAGTACATTAGGGTTAAGTACTCGTTGCGTAACCTATAAGATGGGTTCAATTCGACCTCGATCGAGGAGATTGGTAGAAATACCGGTTCCTAAAATCCGCGAAGACAATTCAGTATAGAATTCATGGGATGCTAAGGACGCGCCAATGCCGGTGACTCATTTCTATTACGATACCGACAGATAATCGGTAGACATGAAATTCAATTTCTTCGAAATCGAATATCCGATCAAAGCGTATCCTGTGTTTCAGCTAAACGATCGTTATCGTCGGATAACGCAACGCAAAAGCGACCGCTAATTTTGACCCCATCCGATTAGTTGGCAATTGAACGTACGTTTCATTCAGTAGAATAATATTATCGTTACACGTACTATTTACCAAATACGCTGATGACCCGATAAAACAAACACACAATCGCGCTCATTATGAATAATTAATAAACGAGCTTGTCTCGATCGAACTTTACGAATTCGACAAACTGAGAAGAGAATTCATTAAGCTGCATCTCGATTCAGGATCTTTTTTGCTTTCATTTAAATTAGCCTCTCTCGGCTAGCGCTTCGGGACCATGATTAATTCCTCGCGCCGAAACCGATGTCTTTAAATAGAAATGCCACTGTTAGTGGTTGCAGTGTATACCTCCGGCGTCTGTAGCCGTGGAAATTCGCATACATCAAAGTTATCTGGTCTCAGGGTCAAGCGACAATATGGATAATACCCATGGGTTATCAGATGTAAATATATACGATATATAAATGTAAATTGTCGCGGTACCTAGAAGTGTTTATCCTCGTCAGGCTCGTTCTAATCGTGGAGGTGTCAGCGTGAACAAAAGTATACACGAAGTATATTTTGCAGAAAAAGTAAAATACTGTTTTTGAAAGAGATACACAGATGTTCGTGCACCGATTAATCATGCCTAACGACCGCTGATTCCAAAGGTGTCTGGCTCTTATTGCGCGGTTATTTTACAAGGTACACGAAAAATGATTCATTATTAACAAGTTCCGATAAGAAACATTCTGCGAGGAACGCATTGCCATTGTTTACTTGCGAAATCAAAACATCCGTTCCCAATCGATTAATTAGTGATAATTCCGTCTAATCGCTTTCGATCCTTGGTCCGGTCTTTCTCCCAGTAAACATCGTCTGGAAAATTCGATCGATCGAACGGATTGCTGCTTGATGACCGTATAACGTGACCGTCCGCGGAAGTAACCCGGAAATCTAGTGCCATCAATCATGCGATGTCTATTCGTTGTAGGAAAACGACTTATCGATTCCTGGCGACGTGCTTCCTTCTTCTCGATGTATGCATCTCGCGTTAACGATGCAAAACACTCGTGCGAACGTTCTGTCAGAAACAGTCGAGCACGCTCGTTAATTCTAAATCTTTCTATGCTTTGCTCACGAAAGTTGACCCTCGGCTAACCGTCACGGGGCAAATGACCTTTAAACTTGAGTCAGAGTTCGTTGGCCCGAGCCCAGGGAACGAGCTACTCCGTGGGCTTCCTTCGGCTGAAAGTAAACGTGGGGGAACTCTTCCTAGAAGAATCTAAGGACTCACTGGCGTAGGACTCTCTTATGTGGGTCAACCTTACTGGGTCGACGCTTCACACATCACTAAATGATATTTCATCATTTAGAATCTAGGGACTTGGGGACTTAAAATTTTGGGGAATCTAGGGACTTGGAGATTGTAGAATTTTGGGGGATTTAGAAATTTAGGAAATGTAGGGATTTGGAGATTGTAGGATTTGGGGAATCTGGAGAATTTAGGAACTTTGAAATTGTAGCATTCAGGGAATCTGGAGAATCTAGGGACTCTGGGATGGTAGAATTTAGGGGATCTGGAAAATCTAGGGACTTTGAGATTGTACAATTTAGGGAATCTGGAGAATCTAGGGACTTTGAGGCTGTAGAATTTAGGGGGTCTGGAGAATCTAGGGACTTTGAGATTGTAGAATTTAGGGGATCTGGAGAATCTAGGGACTTTGAGATTGTACAATTAAGGGTACCTGAAAAACCTAGGGACTTTGGGATTGTAGAATCTTGGGAATCCACAGATATGTAGATTAAAAAAATTGAGATAGTGTAATTTATCACGTAGAATATAAATGTCGCAATCGATTACATCCCATGCTTACTTAACCAAAACGACGACCATGAGAGTCGTAAAATCGGCACGGGAAGCGAAATCGAGTGAACGACGTAGAAGTTTCGCGCGCAAAAAAGAAAATAAAAGAGTATTTTGTTACACACTCACAGACTCGTGTTTAATTATCGAACGAGTGACAAAATATTTGTCGATTATTGCGCCGCAAAGGTTTTGGATCTGTGAGTTGTCATTAGCGACACGAGCTTCTAAACTTGTAAATAACGATTGTATGCTCAGTGATACGTCGGATTTCTTTTGTGCGTAATAAGAGTAATCGATCAAATTGAACACCCTGTAGATGTGTCGAAGGCTTCTGTTTATACGAGCGAAGCCACGGTGGTGAGGCTTGCACGTGAGAGAGTCAAATCGAGGACGAAGACGATCGAAATGAGGAAAAGTAACGGGGCGAGTAACGGGTTGAATTTAACGCATCTTGCCGTTACGAGCACGTTTGTAAGTCTAGTTGTTGGGTCAGGTTAGATCGTGTAACTTTATGGCTAGCATTAATAATGTATGCCTCAACGAGAAGAAACACCTGTTCCTATAAATTCGCTTCGACGAAGATTATCGACACTGTCGGTAATGCGGGACGCTGCGTCGGTAACGTTCTTCTCGTCTAATCGAAGATCTGCGAGAACGATAACTTCGAGTCCACATCGATAAGATAACGTTCGTGAGATACATTTTCATTAGAATCATCGACGCCAGGGAAAATGTAACAGTCATCGTATTTCCGAGAACCGTTACAATGTTCTAAGAAGGCGATGACGAATCATTTCTTCCGTGTGAACAAGTTGATGTAATAGGATTTCCGGAATTCTCAGTACATTGTCATCTTCGCGTCCATGACTCGTCGACACTCTCGCGATTAACTCGTGACCCGCTCACGCTTCGACAAAGTATTTATACCTGTCCACTCCCAATATTTGGAACAGTCGGATTTCGGATGTTCTTGAAAGTTTTGAAACTGGAATCAAGTAGTACTTCGGTGCTTTGATTCTGAAAAGTCACAAAGTTGCAACACAGTTCGGTTTAGACCGACGCACGCAAATTAAGCATGGTGGATCGAATCGAGCGCGAAGCACGAGAGTATCGATCGAGTGGATCGAGCCTAATCGACGCAGCGGTATATCCCGCCAAAGTTCGAATGTACAACCGCGCAAGTCCATCGCGGTGGGAGAGCTGGGAGTTGTTCGTGGGGATGAAAGACGTAGTGGGGAAGTTTGTAGCGGTTAAACGCGAGGTAGCAAGAGTATCGACGCGTATATACCGGTACTATTGGTATGATCCAGCAAACACACGTTCCGAGCTGTTACGAGCGTTACGTCCGCTGATCCAACTTCCAATGTGTCTCTCGTTCGCGATGATACCGTTTGATTTGCAAGTGTACCGCCAGAGCACGCGTTCATCTAAATGGCTTACATAAGTTACGCGGTAATATTAATTGCTTAGAGGTAAACCGCATGCGCTTCTCCGTTGACTGCATCGTGATCGTGAGTATTACAAACGATTGAAGCAGGTGACAAGTTCTTTTCACGCCGAAGCCGCGTCCGCGTACCGATTCGAGAGGATCGATCGCTTTTGTACGAGTTCGGCACTTTTTCGTTTCTTTCCACGTACACGAAACAAAGTTGCCGGCTCGCGATATAGACACGAACGCCTTGCCTGTGATCTGGCGTGAACCGCGAGCAGCGGTGAGGCGATAATTCAGCCTCGACTTTAAATCGTCGTTAAGGAAGGAAAGGAAGGATTTCATTTAAATAACCGTGTCGTACATGAAAATACAAAGTCGGCGATGAACATGGCTGTGACCCAGAAACAGTTCGAGGTGGTAACTTTATCATCGGAGTAGACAAATCTCGCAACGGTGCCAAGAAAGAAAAAAACGAAGTGGGGGTGCGAGGAATGCGAACATTGTTCTTTCTGCTTGCCGCGCGAGAACGAGGCACGATTCGAAGCGGATCGAACACGATCGTACCGGGTGTTTGCTCGAACGGTGCTTAAGGGTTTAAGCGACTTTCAGAAAAATCTTCGAAGGAAATTGCGAACGACATTCGATAAGGAGAAACCGAGAGAGAAGCGGGCACAGACTCAAATGCGGCGGTCATCGTTGCCGGCGATAACGGTCAAAGATCGTTCGAAATATCCCGTGGAGTTTCGCTTCTGCGATTCTTCTGGTTCGTGCTCGAAGACTCGTCGACCGTCGAGCATTCCATCTATAAAACGGTTGGTTCAGGATCACCGTGGAGTTGACGCACTGCCCGCGATCGTTGCATGATATCTCGTGTTTTTTGGAACACGCGGTCGTGTGTGTTCCACTCGCGTCTCGTGCTCTTATTTTTGCGGTGATTTTTTTTTAAACGGACCTGCGTTGAATCAATCGTGTATCGAAAGTGTGGTGAGACGATCAAAGAAAGTGCGGTGATTTAATTACGCGGTGAAGATGGAGGATACAGAGGGCAAAATCATGCCGGGAACGAGCATATCCGTCTTCGTGTTAGCGAGCACGCTGTTTCTCGGCGGAGTCATCCTCGTGATCGGTTACATCGTTAGCCGGTTGTCACGGGCCAACAAATCTTCGGATTCAACGAAAAGTAAGCATTGCCATGACTCGATTTCGCTAGGAAACACGTTTCTGTGATGCCTAAAGGGAAACGGTACCACGCTTGCGTGCTCGTGGACCTCTCGCGCGTTGCCGATCGCACGACACTTTTCTTTTTTCTGCTTTTCTCTCCTAGATCGAGATAATCGTCTCGAGATGATAAAGCAGAACGTTAGACGAGTACGTTGGTTAAATGGGTCATGCGACGATGCACGTCTAATTTCACGAACCTACAGAAATCCTCTCTTATTATCCGCGATTTTACGCAAATTTTCTATCGATACTCCTTTTTTCCGTTACTCCGTAAACATTCGATGGTTGCAATCGTTAAGTACGAATTACTCGTCCGATTGTCAATTGCTATCGCGTGATAAACTCAGGAATGCATATTCGCCTTTCTCACGGAGCAAAAAATTGCTTGCAAACCGCTAGCGTACTCGAAATAAATCATTGAAAATAAATGAAACGAGGCGTAACACGATACGATAGCGTAACAGCGTGTATCGCTCAATGCTTTAACAACGTTAAGTATCATTCCATTCGTTCCAATGTTAATGCGCAAAGAATTGGCGGGAAATTATACTTTTCCGAATAGTGCATAATCCCTCATTCTCTATAATCTCTTCACTTCCATGTGACTCCACTGCATTACTTACGATATTCATTGTAAAATAGTCAAGTTTTATTTAACTATTCCAACGTTTCGATGTTTTGTTGCAAACACGGTGTTTGAAATTCGCCCGTCAGATAAGACTCGCAAACTCGACGCATCGCGATAACGTACATTGAAAATCGAAAAGCTTAATTCGAAATCGATCGAACGTAAAAGTAGCACTTTCGTAAGGAAGGTTTTCGGTGTAGAAAAAGGGATAGTGGAAGGGGTAGAACGCGGTATGGGGTGAATCAAAGAGGACAAAGAGGGAAGCGCAGCTGCGTCACACGCAGTATTCCGCGTTGAAAATGCAGTTCATCTTTGTTCACGGACAAAATGGACCAAACGCGCACATTAAAACGCGTCTGAGACGCTGCTCTCCTAGGTTAGGTCCGCCATGCTGAATCATGAATGTCGGAATTTTTCGAAATGAAGCTTAGAATGAAAAGCTATGAATATTCATAATTCATAATAATTTATTATGGTACAAATTCATAAATCATGGGGTTTGGAATTTTTTAATTTATAAACGTAACGTAATCTTGCAATGTAAAATTTCGAGAAGTTGGCCCACCTGATCGAAAATAGTAGCGGTGGAAAATGTGTAGCACGTATCAGTTAGAATCTAATTTGGAATGCGAAAGAGCGATTGAAGGTAGGAAGACTTCCTTCTATCCATAAAGATAGAAGGTCCTTCCGAATGGGTCCCTACAGTCCTATCTCGATTGTCGATTCGTCGAGCGTATTTGTCCGTACGGCCCTGAGCGTTTCTCCTCGTAAGTACACGTGTACGCACGCGAGACGCGCGTATAGATACACACGCGATGTCGGTTTTATTTATACGCAAGGGTGGCCGTCTTCTTTCCCCGCTAGAGCGATGCACACGGTAGACCAAAGAAAAGAACACACCGATTTAGTTCTTTTCTAACAACGTGTTCATTGCCATGGCGACCGTTTAGCAACGAGATCGACACGCTTCGATAATCGAACGCGCCGCGAGATTCCCGCCGATTTTCAAGACTTTCGTCATTGCGTTTTTTAGCGACTTATCGGTTTATTGCGTCTCGAATGCAATTAATATGAATCAGAATTATTACGATAATGATGCAAGAGACGATAAGAGTAAAGGAGATAACTGCAGCGAGTAAACTTCGTACTATAATTATAGCAATTCCTTAATTCAAAGATAAGATTTTGCTGATTCATTTTTCCGGCGATTTTTGATAGCTTGAAAAAGGATTTCTTTGGAAAGGTGGAGCACGCGATTTCTGTCCCGTTGTAGCAGATAACATAAATTTGTCGCAATGCGCTACATTTTCCGGGCCAGTGCGGCAAAACACGTCCCTGAAAACTCGCGACACGCACCGCGAATAGTGCACTGACCGCGGACAACTATTTCTATTTGTCGATCGCTTTTGCTTTCTCCGTCGAACAAAACGAAATAATACCTGAACATGCTGCCCGGCTAATCTGGCTTCTGCCGCGGAAAATTCGCCTTAGTTTCAGCGCTACTAAATATACTCGAGCGAGTCGAGTTTCTCAAACTTTTCGATTCAAAATTCCCGCGTTTATGGAAAATAAACTTCGCCGTATATTTTTGCGAAAGTAAATGATTTCATGCAGGTAACGTCATCAGATATTGTGTAGCGTTGAATAATAATGTTTCATAGCGAATGAATCATACCTTTGTAACATACAACTCTTATTTCGTTACCCTAAAAATAGAAAACTTAATGATTCCAAAACATTGCTTCTGCGCATTAAACATAAGAAAAATAGTTATCTGTTATATTTGTTTTATCTTGCAGCTTGCAAGTTGTACTTGCATAAGATTTGTTTGCCTTATATTATCAAGATAAGAAAAATATCTCGACTCCTTTCGAAACGTCGCATCAATAAAAATTTAAGGGTGGATTTAGACGTCTTTTATTGCCCATGAAAGTCGTAAAATGTAAAAATAGAGCCGCGTCTGGCAGAAAGGGGCGATATAAGTCCGATACCGTTCACCTTTTCTTCAACTCCGTGTTCAATGAGCCATCACGCCATTGAGGAATCTCGCAACACGGAATAATAATGAGCCACGAAACGACGCGGCGGTGTGAATTCACGGACACAGGGCTTTATTGTTTAATTTCCGGTTTCGGTGGCACGCGGGGTTGTAATAAGCCGGTAATCTCGGCGAAAGGAACTCGTCATATCTGACAAACATATTAGGGTTTCGAGTGGCCAGGTAATCGAACCGACCCTGCTATCCAGGTCGATTGCTTTTCAGAAACCGTTCAGTCGTGCCGGGCTGCACGTATAGTTCAAGGTTAATATTCAGATACCACCGTCATTAACGATATTTATATATTTATTGTCGAGCTGCGAGCATATAAACTACCGGCGTGCGTTGATAAAGAATGTATTCTTTTGGGGGGAGGAGTTGGGGGTTGGGGAATTTTGGGGTTTGGGGATTGGGTAATTTTGGGGTTTGGGGGTTGGGGAATTTGGGGATTTGGAAATTGGGAAAATTGGGGATTTTGGAATTGAGAAATTTTGGAATTTGGGAACTTGGGAATTGGGAAATTTTGGAATTTGGGGATTTTGGAATTTGGGAATTTTGGAATTTTGGAATTTGGGAATTTTGGAATTTGGAAATTTTGGAATTTGGAAATTTTGGAATTGGGAAATTTGGGAATTTGGGAATTTGGGAATTTAGGGATTTGGGAATTTTGGAATTTGGGAATTTTGGAACTTGGAAATTTTGGAATTGGGAAATTTAGGGATTTGGGAATTTTGGAATTTGGGAATTTTGGAATTTGGGAATTTTGGAATTGGGAAATTTCGGAATTTGGGAGTTTTGGAATTGGGAAATTTTGGAATTGGGAAATTTTGGAACTGGGAAATTTTGGAATTTGGAAATTTTGGAATTTGAAAATTTTTGAATTTGGGAATTTGGGAATTTAGGGATTTGGGAATTTTGGAATTTGGGAATTTTGGAACTTGGAAATTTTGGAATTGGGAAATTTAGGGATTTGGGAATTTTGGAATTTGGGAATTTTGGAA